GATTGACATGCATCATTGCACTTCCTTGAAGTAAACTTTATCCTTATTATTTAAGAAAAGTGGGAAAATTGTTGTGAATTAATGATCAGTATGAAAACTATAATCTAAAAAGAAAGCAACCCAACTTACGTGTATTGTCAGTCCGTGCTCAGTGATGTGTGCAGTGTGTACAGAATGAACACACCCGGTCAAACGTAAATATTAACAATAACAGAGCTCGTGCCCTGTTTACAAACACAGATATTTGACGTGATGTTATGAAGAATTTCCTTGTCAATGAATTTCAAGAATTTTCATATAAAGTACAATTCATTAAACTGAAATTATTTTTGAATAAAAATAGAAAAAATGCAAATAAAACGGCAATATGCAACTGCAATAATACAATTGGACTAAAATAAAAAAAGTTCCAAACTTTTTCATAAAAATTTAAAAATTATATTTTATGTCAAAACAGGTATACCGTATACATAAAAAAACATGAAACTTTGAATGCACAATAAAGTTATTGTTAAGAGGAAAAGGCACCAGAAAATGTTATTGTATTTTTTACACAAATAATTCCAAGCTAAGACTGAGAATATGTGAGCGAAAACTTACAAGTATAGAGATAATAAAAACAACAATAAAGTCAGGAGCCAGGCGGGCACATCAACAATTCCCAGGACCTCCATCATCAGTCAGCTGTGAAGTACAGACATAAATGTACGAGGGACTGACTCTGTCATAAGGTAGTGTGTAAACTAATAATATTACTATTTCTTACCAAAACGATTTAAGTTCGCTTTGATGTGTGTGTGTGTGTGTGTGTAAGGGTGTGTGTTTGTGTGTAAAACTTGTAATAACTCTGAAATTTCTACATTCAGACGTTGCCCAAATAACAATGCTCACCTGAATATTTTATTAATTACAAAAAATTAGAAACAATTTTTATTTTTTCCATATGTTTAATAATGTCTCTCCATTATAAGAATTATTTATTCCTTTTCTCATTTGAATTCCACCTTACATTTCATAAATCATATACATATATTTCAATAAAAAGGGTCCGGATTAATGTTAAAAATCTATAGTAGCAAATCTTTGTTGCTGTTGAAATGATAATGAATTGGCACAATCGTAACTTAGAAGTTTGCAAGTTACACTATTTATAACATATATCCTTAATTCTCATTATATCGCGGTATTTTCCAAAAATTAGGATGTATAGCTCATATCCTTTTTATTGATGGACTATCTGTCTGTCGTCTGAATGTTGACTTTTGTGATGATTAAAAAGTATGGAACATTCGTTTGAAAAAAATATTATAATTCAAATAAAATGTAATTTTACAGATTTCCATTCCCGTTTTTATTTTATTTAGACCATTGAATATATAAACAAGTAAAATCCACAGTAAAGTTCATATTTTGAAAGCCTTAATTTTGTATTATTGTTTAGTTTTCAAGTAGATTTCATCATAAATTAAAGAATTAAAATTGTACTTTGTGACAGCGCCAAGCTTCCATGTTTTTCAATACCGCGATACAATGAGACTCTCCACTTTAGGAGGTAAATAAGACTTCCTGTTTTAAAAATAGATTACAAATTAAACGAAGAAAGCTTGGAAAATAATTAGCCACTAAAAAGTTAGGCCATTGATAGGTTTTTGAATAGTATTTGGTGAAAAGTTAATGTAAGAATTTGGAATAACTTTTCTACGCAAAAGAAATAAGTACCGCGATATTATGAGACACCAGTATACATGTAATATGAAATCAAAGTACTGAGAGTACTGGTAAGCGCTAAGCATATTGCAATTTGAAATTCATCAGAATTATTTTGAATTTAAATTGCCTGTTGTATTGGAATTTAAGCAATATCTTGACAGTGCGGCTGCGCTAGGGCTAGAATCTGCACTCGGAGAATAAAGATGTTATTTGTTTATTGCGTCGATAAATATTTCCTTATTGATAACATAATTATTCATTTTAGTTATGAATAAAAAAAATCTCAGAAATATCGAATACTAGTATTCTCACTAAATTGTTTTTAGTATATCTCTTTTTTCATATTCATAAGCGATTTATAAATTTACGATTGTATAGAAAGGATTTTATAAGAAATACATTAATGGAGTGTGTAAGATATTTACACAGTTGCTACGAGCGTCCAGTATTTATTAATGATAAATAAAACTTGGACTATATATAACATTTTGTTTTGAATATGCTACATTTTTAAAACTTTCACATTCATCGCGCTGTGCAGCATATCGGCATCATGTTTGTAACAACGTCATGTGACAAAACTCTATGTCAATGAAATGTGAGCACCCGTTGAGTTAATGTCCTTTTGTCAGAGATAATTGGTAAATATTACGGATGGCAATTTGTTATCGGTTAACCGGTTACTCGGTTGGAACGATGGTAATCGGTTAGAAAAATCGGTTAGTCGGAAAAAATAATATAAGCATAAACTTGAACACTTTTTCCTGAAAATTGAATTTAAAAAATGCAAATTAAAATATCTTAAATATTAAATTTTTACCTATCTATTTAAGCTGATTTGGAGATAATTAAGGCTCTCCGGATTGACAACGCGGGGGTAATTGGTCAGTTTTCGAGATGTTAATAATTGCTGTTTACACACCATGTCGTTACTCAACCAGTCCTGTGTTTCTTTAATGATTTTAATTAAATTATCGTTGGGTACTCTAAACGGATTATAATGTGTATCTTATCTCTTCTATCCTATGCAGTTACCTTTCGAATTATATTATTAAACAAACATTGTAAATTAAGTGATAGTTCAACCTTAGTTTTGATTATGGTGACAGAATGGACTGGCGTATCATCTCTTCTGACATATTATTTTTTCTTACATATATTTTCATATAACTGATACTTCAGGCATGTTTCCTGGATTTTTTAATTTCTTCCCATTAAAATTGAAATCACGTATTTTTATCTGATAAAATATAAACAAAATATTACTAAAGGTAATAGTCTTGTTTATTTAAATAGAGCTTACAATGCTGAAATATATTTAGAATTTTTGATACGATTAACCGATTAATCGGTCGCAACGTCTTGCGGTTAACCGATTGGCAATTCTGTATTCGATTGCCATCCCTAGTAAATATACATACTGAGCATAAAGATATTATACATGTGTTTGTCTTCTTCGGTTGGTGATAAAACATTCGGTGCTATCCTTTTATCTCTGATTTTCATATATATGTCTTTTCTGTTGATCTCACAATATGTTTATCTGATTTGCAAATATTACTTTTTTAAAATAAAAGTTTGTACTTTTCTTCTTCGGATTAAAGATATGTCATTAAACCCGGGCCCCCAAAAGTATTTTGGACTATTGTTGAAATACTTTAAAATGCTTCAGTATTTTTTTTTTACGGACGTTTGATGCTTTACACCATTCTTTACTTGTTTATATACTATTTTAACTACCACGCAAAACGTGTTTAGAGGGGAAAAATATCCACAGCATGTTGTGTTATTTGAAAAGGAGTACTGAAAATAATTGCCGTAATTTTTCTGCTATTTCCATGATAAATAATTCAACAGGCCAAGAAGGAAAATACAGTATATTAATCTCAATTGCAAGTATTAATAAATCGTCATGAGGGTATACAATATTTTTTTTAATTCTGTTTTATGTAGTCCTCATTAAGTTGCTTAGCAGTCAAATCGGCAACACACGCACATCTTTACATAAACTATTTCTTCTTAGTTTCCTAATACAAGTATTACACTGTTTGCTTAACATTTCATCGGCGCTATTCCTGTCCATTGCTAAGAACGTTTAATTAAGGTTTTTGCATTTTTCGCCATACCTTACACACAATTTTAAAGCACAGTATTTCGAGAAATTAGTTTTCCTATTTGAGAGGATTCGTTGAAAACACATCCACCACGTGCCCAACATGTACGTACAACCGCAAACTGCCTTCCCTTGCGAATTATTTATATCATATTTGTACCCATATTACAAGTATAGAGTACAACACAAGTATAGAAATCCATTCCAAATTGTTAATAATTGATACTGAGATGCGAAAAACAACTTCATTGATAGTTCTCTGCATGGTGCAAGGGTGATAATAGAAAGACTTGTTTTTTAGTTACATTGCCTGAAATTAGGGTTTAGAAGAAGAAATAATAATTGATATGGATATAAGTTATATAGAATGCACGTGTAAGTACATTGTAAATCAATTTTATGCGAAAATTTCTATTAAATAACTCAATTCCAGTTTGAGTTTTACATACTTATTAAAATCCCATCTGAGTTTTAAAAACATGTACTTAATCAATCACTTCATTGCATGTACATGACATATAATAAACCGTTTTTAATTAAGTATTTGCGGCATAGATGCAGCAATTGTTAGCTACATGGTACACAAGTGATGAGTGCCGACACGATCTTAAATGAACTACAATGTATAGAGATAAGCATGACAAGAACCGTCCTTATCTACTAACAGTGGACAATGTCTGCATATCTTTACCTTGCTGATTGACTCCTATTATTAGAACTGTACGTAACTCAGCATTACAATAAAATAACCGACAGAGAGTCGAGTATTTCCAATTGCATATTTTTAGAAAACCCAGTGGAGTTATCTAACTTGCTTAGTGGCGCTGGGTCGCGAACGGAAGTAGATTTACGATGACAGTTAGCGCTTTGCGCTGCGCTTAGCGCTTAAAAAGGGTGAAAATAACAAGCTGTAATCAACTCTATTAATCATGTAAACAATACGAAATGTGAACAAGGCAAAAAACACGAGCCCCTGGAATCACCAAAGGTAAGGTCAGGTACCTAGGAAGAGTAATCGTATGTAAACATTTACCCCAGTTTTTGTTTAATGTATACATTCTGACCACAACCGTCTTGGAACATTAGTGTTTATATGTTCAAAAATCTAATTTGTCTTTTTTTTTTTTACTTCGAAACATTAAAGAATAGCTTATAAAATACAAATATGAAGTTAAGATCAAGAGAGCTTGCGTTCCTCCATCTTCAGGAAGAGTCTGTTTTTCGGCTTCAGAAGGACTCTGAAATCAATTTTCAAGGGAATCTGGGATAAATGAAAATTAATACTTTAAAGAAAATTGAATACACTTTTCAAACAATATCCGGGCCAAGGAAAAAAATGCATGGAATGCTTAACTTAATGCAATCAAACTTTCAGAAAATCATGCAAACGGTGCTGATGTGTAAGGCTTTCATTTAAAGACAAGAAACGCAGCGATAAAAAATTACCTCAGTCTTATCACATGATAAGAACTTGTATTTTTGAAGAATGGTGACTAAGGCACATTTAGCTTCCAAGTAAGATAGGCGCATCGCTATGCAGCTTCTTGGTCCAAGTCCGAACGGAAGGAACATATATGGAGTCAAGTTAGACTTGTTCTTTGCCAAAAATCTTCAAATATAGAAATCGTTGGAGTAAATATGAAATTTTCTCGACCATTTGCTAAAGGGATTAAGTTTGACCTATATATAAGTAAGCATTGTTCTATAGTTCAAAAGAGTGAAATCGAAATGAAAAGATTATTTTCAACTATGAATTCTTGAAGAAATCGATATTGATCTGCTTGATGATATGAATTTAAACTTAGTGAATCCCTTCTTTGTAATACATAAAATGATTTTGATAATGTTCAAACAAATCAAATTCATGTATATTAAACAAAATTAAAAATTTAGTTATTAATGTTAAAAAAGATTAATTCAAAGACAGATGAAGAGTTCAAAATTACGGAAGCGTATTGTTGCCAATTGAAAATATTTTTTTTTCTAATTCGTACGAACGAGATACTAAGTCGTACCTACGAGATAATATGTCGTAAGTACGAGATAATACTGCATATGTAGTTATCAAGATTTGTTGAAAGATAGTATGATGCAAAAAAAGTACACAAGTCAAATAAACAAAAATAAACATTTTTTTTAGATAAAAGTGCGATTTCTAAAAATCGCATTCATTAAATACAGACCGATTCTTCTGCAGGATTCGAACTCGGGATTAAATATAGTTTATTTTATATTTATCTGTAAAATTGTTATTTTGTTACAATTCACAAATTATAGAACAGGAAGGATAATGAATTTATGCAATACAGTATATTGACCTTCACATTTTCAAAACCTTTTCAAAGCCTTATTATACTCGGGCTTAAAATGATATTAAATGATATTAAGAGTAAAGGGCTATTTAGGATATCGTCTAGAAACAGTGTTTAAATGTAGAGAGAAAATATAACTTACTTTTATTAAAACAAGTTGCGAGTTGTATAATGTTTCTGACCGTCAGTTAGTCCGTCAGTCCTCCTTATTTATTTATTTATTTTTAATTTTTTTTATAAGCACATCTCTTCTTAAACCGCTGCATAGAATTTCATGAAGATTTGTAGGTAATTAGGGCACAATGTATAGATGTGCATATTATCTCGTACGTACGACTTATTGTTTTCTAGTACGTGCGACATATTATTTCGTACTTACGACTTACATGTAGTATGTCGTACGTACGACTTAATATATCGTACGTACGACTTATTATCTCGTACGTACAACATTGTATCTCGTACGTACGACTTAGTCTCTCGATTATCTCGTATGTACGACTCATTGTTATCTCGTACGTGCGACTTAGTAATTCGTAGGTACGACATATTATCTCGTACGTACGACCATCACAATCCGAGTTTTCTGTCTTGGGAGCGTTGTTTATCCAAATGTGAATAAAGTATGGGCGCCTTCTTTTTATCATAACTGACATGTTTAAAGTCTAAAGTAAACGATATTTTAGGGATTTAATAATTATATTATTGTTAAAATATTCGATTATTTTTCTAACTGTACCTTGGCGATCTTTCATAAGAAATTGCTCGACTTAGGACACATCTGTTTCCCAGCTTGCTTTCACTGGGTAACAGAACAAATGTCATTTTTAACCATCTCCCTTTCTTCACTAAAATAATCAATTTAATTAATGATTAAACTTCTGTCAAGTCTTTTGTCTTCATAAACCTTGTACAAATTATTATATGCTACTGCCAAGGAATTTCCAAGATATACATTAAACTTTACAGCCTTTCGTTGCTCGAATACGACTGAGTCAACCATTTTTTGTCACAAGTTACCTACATATTGACGACATTTTCAAACTGTGACGCCACAAACATGGAGCAAAAATCACCTAACATGTGTATTACCATATGTTTGCCAAATTTCATTCTGATCTGAATTGTGGTTTATAAGTGAACCCACTCGAGACTCTAAAATCATACCGTTTGGACAACTTTCCGACTAAGTAGAATGAAATTCAATCTACTCTGAATAGAACGTTGTAGGCCCGTAGCAACGGTTTAAAAAAAAAGGGGGGGGGATTTCCCAAAATTATCTGACAAGAAAAAAAAAACAAACCCTAATTTACTGTCCAAATCCTGGATTTTGCCAATGCTCGGCCTTATAACATCAAAAAGTGTGTATGTGTGCGGGGGCGGGGTGGGGGGTGGGGGGTGGGGGGCAACCTGCATTTATAGGAAAATTTACTATTAATAGCAATATACTTTACTCAGAGAAAAGTGGGCCCCCCTACCCGAATTCTTCGGGCCTGTGTTGTACATAAAAATCACTCAGAGTTGGTCCATTATCATTCAAAATATCAATATGCATGATTATAACCGGTTGTACATGTTTTGATATTTATACATATAAAAAGTTGACCTCTTTTCTGATGAATGCAGACTTCCCCCGCTTGCAAGTCAAAATTGCATATTCCGTTTACAAAACCTATGTAACAGTGTTAGGACTCTCATATATGTATATACGGGTATATGTGCATATTTTTAGAGTAATACACATATGATAGCCCACAGAAATAAACCATCTATTCAATGCAGATGACGATCTTTTGCTTGCATGATTTGAAGCAATTAAAGCGTCCATTTTTGAATATTTATTCCAAACGAATTGAAAAACAGAAAATGTATTTCTTAGTAATTAGGTCTTGTATGTCCTCTATTCAGAGTTGGTTGGCTTGTTTGATTTGAATTCCTGATTAATATGTCATTATTTGTAATATTTCATGGATCGACAATAAACTGTTTTCTTGTAATTTCAGCATTTTGTAAAGTATTTTACGTTAATGAAACAAAAACTTTGAAAAGAAATGGAGAACTTTTGCAGATGCTAGATATGCAGAAAAAAGTAATGTCATATAATGTAACTATATTTTGGAAATGGTTTTCTTATTAAAATAATTTCTAATCTTTTTGCAGAAATAATTAAATCAGAACAGTGTAATTTGTTTTTCTTTTTGATGTTGAATTCTATCAACATATATCAATATAATCGTACAAAGGATTATAAAATGCTGGTATAGTGTATACTTTTTGGATACATAATTGTCAGGTTAATTACACAATGATTTTCATATCAAATGTGGAAGAACTCATTCACTTATACTTTTTATTATATTTGCTACCAAAAGAATCTCTTTACATTGCATTAGTAAATTTTGTCCTGATGCCTTCATATAAGCATATTACAGTTTCACATAAATAAACTTGGATTTTCTTTTTTCCATTTTCAAGAAGATTTCGTTCTTTGGTTTTAGAAGCGCTCCTGCATCAAGTTGTACAGGAATCTGGAATTATAATTATGATATAAAGTATTCAACAAAACGTTCGTAAGAGTAGCATGTCATACAATAAATACCTTGCTGACTTAAGACATTTTTCGCTTCCAGGCATTTGTATACGGTATGAAAGAAACATTCATGCACATTTTCAACAATATCAGTCTATACAATGTATGTATATTACTTTACATAAGTTCACAAATTATTGCTATGTTATTATTAAAAAAAAAATCCATGTGCATGCATTATTATGTAAAATTTTGTGGCCCCTCCTCCGAGAGAGATTCTCTTTATGTCCCCACATGTGTATATAGAGTTCGTCATGTGCGTCTTCCGTCCCTTTGCCTTTCCGTCTTTTCGTCACACTTTGCGTTTAGCTCAGATTCAAAGAAACTATTCAAGATATTTTTATCAAACTTCATTTGATGATACATATTAATGAGAGCTATTCAACTGCATCAACATTTCTGACCTTGACTTTTCCTTTGACCCTGATTTCACTTTTCTCAATTTAGTGTTAAGCTAAGTTTCAAAGAAATTATTCAAGATATTTTAATGAAACCTTGTATCCTAATACATACTGATGAGAACTATTCAACTCATCAACGTTTTTGACCTTGACCCTACCTTTGACATTGACTTCACTTTTCTTAAATTTGTATTTAGCTATGTTTCAAAGAATTTATTCAAGATATTTTATTCAAACTTTATATGCTGATACATATTGATGAGAGCTATTCAACTGCATCAACATTTTTTACCTTGATATTTCCTTTGACCTTGACCTTACTTTCTTAAATTAGTGATTATCTCAATTTCAAAGAAACTTAAGATGTTTTTATCAAATTTTATATGCTTATACATATTGGTGGCAGCAGTTCTACTGCATCAACATTTTTTACCTTGACCGTTCCTTTGATCGATCTTGACCTCAAATTTGTGTTTACCTCAGTTTCAAAGAAACTATTCAAGATATTTTTTGTAATATGGACTGATACATAATTGGTGAGAATTGACCGTGTCCTATTCTTTTTTACCTTGACTCTCCCATCGACTTTACTATTTATTGTATAAAACTCAGTTTTAATGAAACTATTCAAGATATTTCATCACATTTTACACACTATAATACAATTTTTCATGTTGCATTACTAATGAACCCTTGGCAGGGCATTCATTTCCTATGGACATTATTTTTAGTTTAGATAGATACTATCCTATACTAAACTAAGTTGGAGCTAAATTGATAAATTGAAAATACATTAATGGATTGGTAAAAAAAAATGACCGATAGAGAGTACAATTTGTCAAACGCTTACATGTACCAAAGAGACAATAAATGGGAGAAAACAGCTAGCTGAATGACGTTTCTTTGAAGTGTTTGACCAGCATCTATACTTACATGTATAAATGCTGGTTTTTTTTTTGGAAATATTAGCTCATACAAACATTCTTAGATAAGATTTCATCCCCAACATTTTCCTTGCATGTTCGGAAAAAATATGAAAATAATAAGTTTCAAACTTCCTTTCATGGAGATCTTTGCATAATAATTTGATCAGTTTTTGTCCCACTCTTTTGTAGATAAACGTGTTAAGGACCCTCTCTACACTAGTCCAACATGTTTTTTGGACATCGAGAAAATTGTATTGAATAAAGGTGTAAATATTGAGCTTATATATATATATATATAAATATATATATATATATATATATATATATATATATATATATATATATATATATATATATATATATATATATATATATATAAATATATAAATATATATATATATATATATATATATATATATATATATATATATATATATATATATATATATATATATATATATATATATATATATATATATATATAATTTTCAATATATGGTACGTGGCATTTACCGCCAGGAAAAATGTTCAAACACAACACAGTATCAGTGAACAGAAATCGCTGTTGTTTACTTCCATGGAAAAATACATATAAATAACGTGTTCAATTAATTTATCTTGGCCTTTTAAAATGTTAAGAATACTTTAATTGATTACAAATTGAGTAATACTCTGTAAATTTCCATTTATTGGAATTTAGATCTAAGGGCAGATCACTCTAACTGCAGAAAAATACCATAGAATCATTAGTGTGCAGTGTAGAGAGGGTTCTTAAAAATTTATTCTCCACAAATTAAAAAAAAATTACGCGAGGCCATAAATAAAATGAACAGCAATCCATACTACAAATTTGCATACATGATTAAAATTAGTTTATGTTGCCGATAGTGAGGAGACCTCGCTATATGTCTACCTGTTACTAAGAGCTCAGACCAAGCTTTGGGGCTAAAATTTGCGCAATGTTTTCTCTACACTGAATGAAGATACTAATTAACAATCTACTTAATTGTTCACTCCATTATGTGTATAAATTTAATTCAAAGAAAAATAATTTATCCATGTATTTCATAGAGAACCCCTACTCCCTGTTAATTGTTATCCCGCCGTTGATTCTATAAGTAGCCAAATATGACTGTATACATTTTGTTCAAGGTTGTCTGAATAATTAATTGTAATAAGTATTTTATGGCAATGGAGTAAAAAGAATAAAAAAACATTATCGATTACGGTGCAAAAACAAACAAACAAACAAACAAACAAACAAACAAACAACAAAGCAACTTATGTATACATAAAGTAAGGAAATACAAAATCAAGAATAAAAAAAATATACCTCTGTTTTGTCACATGTTACAAAAATGTATTTCTGAAATAAAGTCACCAAGGCACACTTAGTTTCCATCAAGGCTAGTCGCATGGCGACACAATTTCTTGGCCCTAGTTTTAAAGGCAGAAATGCATTTGGCGTCATGTTCGACTTGTGTTTTGCCAAAAACCTTTACCAAAATCAAGCATGTGCCATATAGAAATGAAATAATGGATTAAAATGATTCCTTTGCAATACCTGTCAAGGTTATATTTCTCGGGTTCTTCCCAGTACTTTGGACTTCTGTGTAGAGCAAATATGGAGACAGACCTGATATTTCCATTTCCTGATGAGTTTCTCGGAATGCTCTATAAATAATAATAAAAATGGACAAACTATTGAATCAGAACTTTAAAATCAATCAAAACATATTGGAAGATTTTACAATTGGCATTTATTATTGAGGTTATATATCAGAGAGAGAGAGAGAGAGACCTTTGAGCTGGGGGATATAATCGCATTGCCTCCTTTATAACATAGTCTAGATACTCCAGCTTCTGAATGTTGTCATAATCAGGTGTATCCTTTGCATCTATAATATAAAAGTTAATATGAATTGTACAAAAACATAAATATAAATAGTATTTTTTTTAAAATTGCTTGTGGTTATTGTCGGTGCGAAGTGACAAGGCATGGAAAGCTAACCTACTTGAACCAAACTGATGCTATTATATTTTGTATTAAAATTCTGGATGTCGAGTATTTAAACTGATACATGTCCATTTTAAAATACAATCAACTTTCTTTAAAAAGGGGAATTTTATAAAATGTAGATGTCATTTGTAGATTGTACCTGTCCAATAGAAGTGTCTAATTCAGGAATCAATTTGTCTTGATATTCCGGATTTGTTGCTAAGCAATACGCAGTAAAAGTCAAAACTGTAGAAGTGGTTTCATATCCAGCAAAGATAAACATGATGAAGTTCCCATTTACTTCTTCGGTTGTTAGTCCTGTCAGTGAAAGACAAATATTCCTCTGCATCTTTTGAATTTCTAATTTGCCTTAAAATAAGGTCCTATTTATACACGGAAAATGGTGTACACAAACATACACATGTATATGAAATATACTTTAAGAATGTTATTACGCTCCTCTCTTGACCAATATAAATTTTGCTTATCTAGTGCAATATATATTTTGATATTTCAAATCTGTTGAACTTCTGTTACCTTTCTTTTTCCACTGTTCCCTATTGACTTTATACTCTAAAAGCTGTTCAGTTTCACTAAGATCTGTTTCTTTATGGGCATCCAATAAACAATGAAGAAGATCATTTCTTTTCTGAAGTCAGAATTTAGGGGAATTATTTATATGCATATGAATTTGAACATATTTTTTGCTTTTGTCTTTAAAAACACAGGAAATATTTGCTCAAGGTATCTGTGGAAAGTGATTGTTTTCAAATATATCAAGCCCAATTTGTAAAGCATTCCAAGAACCCTTATCGATCTACATTAATCATTAATGAATAAAAGCTGACCGTCAATTGATTAAAGAGTGTCAATTTTTCAATGAAAAAAGTGAAGATAACGAACAGTTATCAAATGCAATCTCCTTAATCTTATAAAGAACAGGGGAAACACGGATCCTTGGAAACACCAGAGATGGGATCAGGAACAAAGGAGGAGTAAACATCCCCTGTCGATCGCTCTCATCCGCCGAGAACCTTATTTTTAAATATATCTTACCATCATCTCATTTCAATATTTTGATCGCGAGAACTATGTAAACGTTAAAAAAAAATAAAGAATGTAAGTTACTTACCAAATAAGAAAAATCAAGCTTTCTCTCTAGATAAGCCACTTTTTTCAGATTCTATCATTTACCTTGTGGTCCTCCCTAAGTTTCTTAGCTTGTTCCACCAAGTTTTTAAAGTATAAGCAGTATTTGTTTTGTCTATCTATGTCCAATACTAACTTGCAAAGAAGACTGTAGAGTGGCGGCATTTTCCATCTTAATTGTGACGGCTGTAAATTTGAAATACTTCTAACAACTGACCCACGAAAAATACGGGTGGTTGCCTCCAATAATTCTGAAGATTTTGTTGTTATTAATCATAGAAATATAATTAATCAAAATGCCCGATCTATGATGCTAGAAATAGGAATAGAATTATTTTTGAACTATCTCTTTGTCTCCTATTTTGTTTTTTTAAATATAATACAAAAAGTATATTGCTTTGTAGAAACAAAACTCCTATGCATTTGATAAATGGGTCAGATTACGTCCTATGGTATAAAATAACCGAAAAAAATATCTGCATTGTTTGTCTTATTGCCTTAGTTTAAAATGTGTATCTGCCATGCACTTTTTTAAAAACAATTTTACTGTTCACATTACGTTTAAGGTTTTCATTCATACATTTTTAAACATGAAAACAAGGTATTTTCTGTTTCCTATGCGTGTGAATTGACAAAAAACATATAGGTATTACGTCTTATTTGAGTTTTAATTTATTTAAATTGCAACTAACTTAGCGTTAATAAAGCAAAATTGATGAAGTCAATTCGCGTGTTTGCCAGCAAACGTTTGTTTTCAAAGTAACTTTCTTTTTTGAATCGGCGCACAACTGAAAGACGCTTTTAAATCTATATTGTTAAACTGCTGAAAATCGGCTCATATTTCTGTCACTTGTAAAAATGGAACTAATCTTTAATGTATTTTGTGGTTTTCTTTTTTTTTTTTTTTTTTTTTTTTTTTTTTTTTTTAAATTGGCGTGAACTTTGCATGAAATGTAGGCCAGTAAATCAACATAGGGCCGCCGACACTGAAGCATCTTTTCCATTTTCCCTGAACTAAAAAAAAAAACCCATAAAAATTCATATGAAATAATTCAGAGCTCAAATTAGTCTTTTAATGGTGAGATCATATGTTAAAAGATAAATTTAAAACATCTATTGAATAAAGTTTTGGTGTGATATACCTCATTAAATTAATTTTACCAAACAATAGAGTTTGTGATATAGATGTTGCCAAGTACAGGCTCTTTAAACCGTCACGTATTAGGGAAGACAATAATTTCGAAATAATCCGTCTGCTCCGTAATTTAAATTAACTTGAATTTGCCAACAAAAGTAAAGATCCTGTAAACATTAGATTCATTCTTAATCATAAATTTAAAGTTGAAGTCTACACCCCGCAATTAACGACAGATCTTCACTTCTATTATGAATTCCGTCGAGGATTATGTCAGACGATGGAAGAATTGTGAAGAGGAAGACCTGGACACTTTGTCAGAGTGGAATGAGTATTTTAGAAGCATATTAAAGAATCGTGTTAGAAAGGCAAAAGGGTAAAATGTGAATCCTCTATCCTTCCATTTTTAGTAAATTGGAAGTTTATAAAAGGGTTAGAAAGACTACCTGAACAATATGTCATGGTTCCAGCTGAAAAGGCTTTTAACAATATGTTGTCTTTTTTGTGGGGCTAATTATTACTACAACTGTATTTTAAAAGAACTTGGCTTTAATTCTACGTACATAAACCCAGGTAATACTCCCAGTTCACTGTCTAGGTTTGTAATTCTTATTAGCAAACCCATTTTTGTATTCATATGAAGCAGAAATTATTCAAAAACGTCTACACGAGAAGAAGAGAACACTTGTTGTGGCCAACAACTCGACATTTCGATATATCGATGACGTATTATCAATTAATAATAGCTACTGTAGATTCCTTATTTTACGCGAGTACTTAATATCGCGATATGGCCCAAGGGCGTCAAATTGCGAGAAAAAATAATTCGCGAACGTGTGATTTATCTAGAAATTTTACATACATTAAAGCACCATAAAAATAAAAGCGTGTAATTTTATTTCGGGAGTGGTGCTCCTCGCGAAATTACGCGATAATTTATTCCTCGCGTATATTTAGGAATCTACAGTACTTGCATTCATATGTCGAGTCGATATATCCCAGTGAGCTTGAGATAAAAGATACCACAGATTCTGCCACATCTGTTTCATATTTAGATATTTTACTAGAAAAGGACCAAGCTTTATGATAAACGTGATGACTTCAACTTTTCAATCGTCAAGCTTCCCTTACTTATGTAGCAATATACCCTTATCACCTGCATATGGGATTTATGTCTCTCAGTTGATTCGATACGCAAGAGCATGCTCTACGTATGAAAAATTTCTAAAACGAGGCAAGCTATTGACAGAGAAGTTGACTAAACAAGGATATCAACAGTCTCGTTTGAAGTCATCTTTTCGCAAGTTTTTCGGTCTATACAATGACCTTGTCAGCACATACAACCTATCATTGAGTCAAATGCTGACTGACGTTTTTCATACTAATTGTTAGGCCATTATTTATACACTGAACTGTCTATGGATTTTTCCGGGTTTTTTTTCCGGTCATGACAAGGAGCACACGGCGGGTGTGACCGATCGGCAGGGGATGCTCACTCCTCTATGGCGTCTGATCCCACCTCTAAATTTTGAGGTCCGTGTTTGCTCTGCTTCAAATTTGTATCATTTCATGGGACTTTCGAGATTGAATACTGTTTGTTATCTTCATATTTCATTCTTCAAATTCGCCTTTCAGTCTTTAATATTTTTTACATTTTAGTCAACGAAAGTTAATTTGATTTGCCCTTCCTAAATTGGATTAAATTCGATACATTGAGGGTTCTAGCAAATGCAAAAATGACATTTAACAAAAAAATCTGTGCATGGCATATTTTCTGTATTTTGATATTATGACTCTGTCATATAAATGCGACATTTGATTTCGATCCTTTTTTTCCATGCATGTTTATATAAAAAAAAAACACGGATGCGGGACTCATATTTATATGTAAATCTACGATATATTTCAAATATGCATTGTAACAATAAATAAAATAAAAATTGATCATATACATGTAGACAATGTCTCTAAATATATATAGTAGTAGATAATAAATACTAAAGTTTCTTTTGTAATAAGACGCATCTGGAAGAAATATAACATGTGAAATGACTAAAACTGTTTACAGGTATATTGCTATATAGGTATAAAAATTAAAAATAATATAACAAAACGTGAAAAAAAACAATATATGCTAAAATAGACAAAGGCTGATTAATTATAACCTAAAACATCAAACCTAAAATAGGTATAAAAAACGAATTTTTGTAAAGCGAAAAAAAAAATCAATCTACCAGTTAAGATTTAATCACATTTTTTCGGAGGGTCTCTTTTGCACATTTAGCACATCAACATATATCTAGTAGATATACATCATCATTGGCTACCGTAAAAACATGTGTACGTTTTTGTTTGTTTGAATATTGTTTGTTGTACTATTTACGATTAATAACAAAAATATTGAAAAATATCAATAAAAGGTGGAGATGAATGTATCTGACCTACCTCCATATTGAATTTCTTGTATATTGTTCAAACAATTTTCACCATATAAATTTCCGTTTATTGTAATAATTGCCAGAAGAAAAAATATTGATTCAATAATCTAAGCTGGGAGAGACTATCTTTTTTCCAATTTCAAGAACGTCCCATTTCTCGGCTTCTGATGGCCTTTAGAATCCATTTCCATCGGAATCTAGAAAAAAAGTTAAGAACTCTTTATATTGATAAAACTAGAAGTCTCTGATGAGACTGTCGCTCTACTGGTCTGTACATATACATGTAACAAAGAAAATGTAGCATTTGGATTTGAAGCTTTACAACATGCAGCAATAAATAGAATTATGTATCTTAATGTAGTCTACTTGTGCAGTCTTTGCAACACCGTTCATCAAAATCAAAAACCGATGCACTTAATTATGTAACATTGTTCAGTCTACTTTTGTGCCAAGTTATATTGGAATCAGACCATAACTGTAGGAGGAGTGGTGTTTTAAAGGAATTTCACAGACATTTCTATTTTTAGTAACCATGGCAAGACCGTTCATCGAAATCAAAAACCGATGCATTGAATTACGTATCTTAGTGAAGTCTACTTATGTGCCAAGTTATATTGAAATCAAACAAAAACTGTAGGAGGAGTAGCGTTTTAAAGGAATTTCACAGAAATTTCTATTTTTAGTAACCAAAGATACACCATACATCAAAATCAAAAACTGATGCATTCAATTATAAATCTTAATGCAGTCTACTTGTATGCCAAATCATATTGAAATCAGACCAAAACTGTGGGAGGAGTAGCGATTTAAAGGAATTTCACAGACATTTCTATTTTTAGTAATCATTGCAATACCATTAAAAAACCGATGCACTAAATGATGTATGATAGTGTGCTAAGTTATATTGAAATCAGACCAAAACTGTGAGAGGAGTAGTATTTTAAAGGAATTTCACAGAAATATTTATTTATGTCTTCTAATGCTAGGCAAGCTCACCGCAGCTAGTTTTTGCTAAATTTGTAAAAATCAAATAAAACACAATCATAGAGATGAATTATGTCATTTATTTAAATGACGGTATAAATGTAAACAATTTAACACACAAGAAGGGGATCAGACTCACAAGCTCTGATTGTAAGTTACGTAAAATATGATAATGTCTGATCCCCCCAAAAAACGAGTAGAAAAAAGTACATATAAAACAAGACAAACAAAACATCACAAGAAAAAGTTAGCAAAAAGATGGCACATCAAAACAAAATGGGCCAAGTACCTATAAGAAGACAATCAAAACTATCAAAAATATAGAGGAAAAAAAGAACATTAAGATGGCATATTAAAACAAAATGGCACATATAAAATATTAATCATTAAAAGCGGGGTAGGATTGAAGGGGTGGTGGTGGGTCTTCAAATTAGACGTGCCTCGTGTAAACGGTGGTCAGCGTGCGGGCATCAAAATACAACTGACTCGCTAAGCTGACCACGTGACGTTATACCATCCTTGGCTAGGCGAAATTAATTAGTACATTGGCCAAGGCGTGGATCTAAAAATTTTTACAATAAAGGAAGTTTACAAGCATTTAAGTCTTATAGAATCCTCTACATAAATACCCGCATTAAATACATAAATACAATTATTATTCTAATAATTGTTGTTTTATGTCTTCTAATGCTAGGCAAGCTCACCGCAGCTAGTTTTTGCTAAATTTGTAAAAATCAAATAAAACACAATCATAGAGATGAATTATGTCATTTATTTAAATGACGGTATAAATGTAAACAATTTAACACACAAGAAGGGGATCAGACTCACAAGCTCTGATTGTAAGTTACGTAAAATATGATAATGTCTGATCCCCCCAAAAAACGAGTAGAAAAAAGTACATATAAAACAAGACAAACAAAACATCACAAGAAAAAGTTAGCAAAAAGATGGCACATCAAAACAAAATGGGCCACAAGATGTGATATGCAAGTCACAACAATGCAAGATGTGACATGCAGATCGCATCCGTGCCATCCAAGGTGAGCTTGCGCACAATGAAATTACATTATTCATATCCAATAACAATTCTGTATGGAAGCAGTTAATCACTGGCCAATCCATTTAATGCATCCGAAAATAATTTATGAACACAATCCAAAACAACAAAAAGAAAAACTGTATACTAAAATCTACCTTCTGTTAGTCCATGGACAAAAGTTATATACACGACTAGAGCCATAAATATCAATAAGAATACTACATTAACAGTAGCTAGACTAAGTATATATATATATATATAAAAAATGTTAAATGAGCCAGCAAGCAAGCTAAGTAAGGGAGATGCTAACAATCTTCGACAGCAGCTGTTCACTGACCTGTCTCAACCACTATAGGTCTTACTGGGAGTAGAACAAATACATCAGTTAAACACTGGTCTGTATTTGAATTGGGAGTAGAACAAAACAGTAGTTAAACACTGACCTGTATTTGAACTACCTACTAGTACTGACTATTTATTGGGAGTAGAACAAAACAGCAGTTAAACACTGACCTGTATTTGAACTACCTACTAGTATTGCCTATTTATTGGGAGTAGAACAAAACAGCAGTTAAACACTGACCTGTATTTGAACTACCTACTAGTACTGCCTATTTATTGGGAGTAGAACAAAACAGCAGTTAAACACTGACCTGTATTTGAACTACCTACTAGTACTGACTATTTATTGGGAGTAGAACAAAACAGCAGTTAAACACTGACCTGTATTTGAACTACCTACTAGTACTGACTATTTATTGGGAGTAGAACAAAACAGCAGTTAAACACTGGCCTGTATTTCAACTGGGAATAGAACAGTTACATGTAAACACTAGTCTGTATTTCCACTACCTACTAGCAATTGACTGTCCATAGCGAGCAGAACAAATCAGCTGTTGAACACTGACCTGCATTAAAAACTTCTAGTACCTACTAGCACTTGCCTGTCATTGGGAATAGAACAAAAAGCAGTTAAACACTGACCAGCATTGAAGTAACTACTAGCACCTGACTGTTCATTGGGAGTAGAACAAAAGAACAGTTGAACACTGATCCGCATTTAAAATACACTTCAATTACCTAATATATGTATATATATATATATAAGAAAAAAAAAAAAAAAAAAAAAAAAAAAAAAAAAAAAAAAAACACGAATATCATAGTTAAAGTGATGAAAACCCAATAGATCTATGCAACACATTAGAACTGGAGCACCTAAAATGATTGATACAGATTTCAAATTTACTATGAGTGGCCAGGCCTAAACAAAATGTGCTTGAGAACCAACCTTGCAAGTTATATAGTCTTAGAAAAATGAGAAATGATATGCGAGTGACATTGGGGCTATCTATGCATCGAAGGTATTACTAAAATTTCATGAATTTAAGAACGCTTTATACCAGGTATCATTGTCCAAGTGATTGGTAATGGCATAGTTTTGAGAATGTCATATTTCGGGGAATATGAGAGTGATGCAATGCTTATAGCATGTATGCTTTTCCAAATGGATATTTGTTAAAACGAGGACAATTTCATGCGGGAAAATTTATTTAAAAATAAGAAATAAAATAATAAGTAGATAAATAAAATTAAATTAAAATAAATAAATAAATAACCATGAAATAAGAAATACCAGAATTGTCCAACTCATAAAGTTACTTGTAATTTAAAGCTGTAAACCCGAAACTAAAACAATATAAACCATTTCAAGTTTTTACAGACCAACTTGTTCCAAATGGTATATAACCTCCATAATGCCTGCATAACTGCTCTTTCACCGTAGAACCGAGAAGGTATTAATCATAAATTTAACAGCATGCTATGAAATGCCTGTAGAATCTTGCCATAAGGAATCTATTCCTTCAATTACAAATATGTGTTACGATGCTGTTAATATGTTGTTAAATAGAATCACCATGATTGTCAGCAATTAAAGAAAAAGGTATGAAAGAGTCTAATTATTATATTATTTGAATTCTGTAAACAACGCCCTTGTGAAACACTGAAATCATGGAAATGGGGATGACAAAATTACATTAGTAAATCCCTTAGCAGAAAAATTGGCATTAAAATACACGTTCATATCCTGAGGATGTTCAGAAGTCTTTATATCATTACTATAGACATTATGAGAGCGTAGTTAATTAATAGGGATTTAAGAGTCTAAAATTGTTTAAGCTATCGACTGAGATAATTTAAATTGCAAGTTACATAACCCTTATGTTCATCTTCAAATGTTCCGTAGTCGCCCGCGTAGCGCAGTGGTTAGAGCGTCTGCTCTAGAGTCGCGAAGTAAGGAGCTGATCCTTACGTTGCGGGTTCGAATCCCACTGCGGGACGCGGAGACCGGTCCTTCGTATGAGACCGCATAAACCGAGGTCCCGTGTCGCAGTAGGTGCCGGCACGGAAAAGATCCCTCACTGCTCAATGGGCCCCAGTGCCAAGTATAGGTCAAAATTTGTAGTCCTCCACCGGCAAGTGGTGGCGTCTCCATATGAGTGAAAAATTCTCGAGAGAGACGTTAAACAACAATCAATCAAATGTTCTTTATGGTGATTTATTGTTTAAGGGATAGGAACCTTTGTTTAACGATACGATTCAAAACTGGCATTTCCGGAGATACATATACCAGGACCGAATTTCATTTTTCTAATTTGTAACTTCTTGAGGCAATATCAAAATTAAGAACACTTGTTTTTCTTTCTTACTGAATAAGCTTACACAAGTAAATTTTATCTGTTGGAAGATATTGTCCCTTTTCAAAATATACATCATTAAGATGTAAAAGCAATTTAATTACATTGAAGTCTTGATTGCTGATGTCTAATGAAATGAAATTAACTTGTTCTTACTAAATATGCTAGGGGTCGTTTGTGAGAGAACAAAGTAGGTGCAGATTCACATAGTTTTACTCCTTCGGTCACCATTGAACCGAGAGATAATTGGACCTGCGTGTGCTTGCTGGGTGTGCTTGCTGACTCACCTATAAGAAATTGACTCTAGTGATCTGACTGGTATGGATGCTCTGACAGCCAACAGTGGTGGGACACCTTCTTTATTCGCTGGTTTAGGACATTATCCAACGGTGGCAACAATGCTGCAATTTAGCTTGTAGATGTGGATCTTATGCAGTTTATTGGATAAAACCTGTTGCTGAGTCAATATTTGTTAAACAGTGCAGTTAAACAATAAACATATGATTTATTGCCATTAAATTCATGGCACACAACTCTGCTAGGCTCTCTGGGCTATGAATAATATAGCCATGTTCCCTCAAAACTGGGGCTGCTAGCATGTGGCAAAGTTGCTCATTGGTAAGGATGGTTAGACTCTTTCTTATGTTTGTGTGTTCTCGCAAGTTCTTCAGAAGGTATCTGCAACTTAAAAATTAAAATTATATGAATATTTTTCCAAGTCTAAGGTGTCATACAAAAAGAGGACGCCACAAACCAACAACTGAGTAGTAAACAAAAATCCCCATCATCATGACCATCAAAATAAATGCAACAGCATTGAACAGAAAGAGTAAACTTCCTATCCTAGACTAACCTTGTTAGCAAATGTATTACAAACATATTGATCATAATAAATTATTAAAACGATGAGAGGATCTGCTTTGACTAAATTGGAAGAACTCTACCCATTTGACCAACAGAAAAATTAAATAAATATTGATAAATCAGAGGTAATCTATTTACCCCATTACAAGAATAGAATGTCACCCGTGTTAAAATAACACATACTTTGTAGCAAATGGGGGAAATATCATTATACTCTACTAAATATAAACTGTAATCAACATGAAATTAATTGTTACCACATAAGGAGGTAATAGAGCATATAAACTTTAAACCAAACCAGTAAAAATATGGATAGCTTCGACCCATATGTCCACATATAAACTCCGTGAACACTACGGGTAACTCTGACCCATAGATACGTAAAAACTCTAAACTAGATAAAATCATGCTACATAAGACGCAAATTATGTCGTTATGTGCAAAAACAATAGATAACTATGACTCCTTGGTATATATATAAATTTACAAATATAGCACCAAGAAACTCTTTTTAACGTTAGTACGCCAATGCATCACCTATTAAAACCATTGATCATGGTAAATTCCCACATCTGACCACAGTTAAAATAACTTGATAAACAAACTCCAACTCAAAAAGTCCAAGAACGACCTAAACTCCGTTACTGGTACAAAGAAACACTAAGCCCTGTACTTATCTTAAACATGTGGATATGTACATAAAAACAATGAACCCAGACTCCCACACAATAAGTACATATATACGGCCTAAACTCTGTACTATTGCTAAACAACGTGGGTAGGTACAGATACACTTTGTACCCAGACTCCCACACAATAAGTACATATATACGGCCTAAACTCTGTACTATTGCTAAACAACGTGGGTAGGTACAGATATACTTTGTACCCAGATTCCCACACAATAAGTACATATATATACGGCCTAAACTCTGTACTATTGCTAAACAACGTGGGTAGGTACAGATATACTTTGTACCCAGACTCCCACACAATAAGTACATATATACGGCCTAAACTCTGTACTATTGCTAAACAACGTGGGTAGGCACAGATAAACTTTGTACCCAGACTCCCACACAATAAGTACAAATAAGGCCTAAACTGCATTATTGTTAAACAACGCGGGTAGGTTCATATATACACTTTGTACCTCTACTTCCACACGATAAGTACATAAGGCCTAATCTCTATATCACATATCAATACTAAACAAACTGGTGGAATAAAAACTCTCTACCAAAGTTCTCTACAAGTTCTGTACCAAGATTAAACACTATGAGAAACTTTGATTCATATGGTACATATAGATCTGTATAACCATGTCTAAATGACTCATTACAACATAAGACGGAAACCATTGTCATTATGATAACCGAACAATAGGGCAAAATCTGTTTTATGAAATACTTTTCACAAAACTGCCTGCGTAATTATTAATATTTGGAAAATATTAAATGCTTGACACAGAAATTCATATCCTTGCCTTTACTCGATAGCATTGGCTGACAAACTTTATCTATATGACCTTAATATTCATAGCTTAACCCAAGCATAAGCACCCCACTGTGCAATAAAATGGAATGTTATACTGGTCTTAATAATTAAGACGACTGCATTCCTTGTACATCGAAGAAACTTCCGCAAGGGCTGGTCGTGCGAGGGGGTGCAGCACAGATGTCCACCATCTGGACCTGATAGCTCAAGTTCTTCCTGAAACCTTAGTGGCACCAAAACTGAATCCCTGATAAAGACTTGGTCAAGGTCTCCAGCTGCGTATTCGTTTTCACATCAACGCCATCCCGCAGACACTGGCATTTATTATCACAACTCCTCGACCAAACAACTCCGTGTCGTCATTGATATAAATGTATCCGGTTAAAGTCGTTCAATTATCAAATTCACTTATATTATTTCAAAATCTGGAGCAAAACTACGTTTGCTGGAAAAATTAAAATAACCACAGAATATTATCACGCGCCCTATGTGGGAATCTCCGTCCATCAAATTTATGAAAGAGTACCAGTCCGAAACACAACACAATATTAATCAAGTCCAATCATCAGAAAAATATACCCCACATGGGTAATGAAATATCTGTACGTACATGTATGTATGACCCGCGCACATCTACCACCAACACTATCGGTCAAATAAACAATAAAATACACTCAAACAGCACAAACTGTGCCAGTACTCGACAGTATTTTGCTTTTTGCTTTTCTTTTAACGTCAGATACTCGACAGAATGAGAAAGCACGCCTCCTGGATGACCAGAACGATCACAAAAAGTTGTAATGTCTTCAAATTAGACGTGCCTCGTGTAAACGGTGGTCAGCGTGCGGGCATCAAAATACAACTGACTCGCTAAGCTGACCACGTGACGTTATACCATCCTTGGCTAGGCGAAATTAATTAGTACATTGGCCAAGGCGTGGATCTAAAAAATTTTACAATAAAGGAAGTTTACAAGCATTTAAGTCTTATAGAATCCTCTACATAAATACCCGCATTAAATACATAAATACAATTATTATTCTAATAATTGTTGTTTTTTAGTACCATGGCAACACTGTCCATCGAAATCAAAAACCGATGCACTAAATGATGTATGATAGTGCAGTCTATTTTTGTGCCAAGTTATATTGAAATCAGACCAAATCTGTAGGAGGAGTAGCGTTTTAAAGGAATTTCACAGAATTTTCAATTTTTGTAACCATGGCAACACCGTTCATCAAAATCGAAAACCGATGCACTGAATTAAGTATCTTGGTGTAGTCTTCTTGTGTTCCAAATGTATGATAGTGCAGTCTACTTTTGTGCCAAGTTATACTGAAATCAGACCAAAACTGTAGGAGGAGTAGCGTTTTGAAAAATTGTTTACAGAGAGACAGACAGACAGACAGACGGACGGACGGACGACGAACACCTTACTATCGCATAAGCCCTTCTGGTCTCTGACCAGTAGAGCTAAAAACATTGTAGAACACATTATAAAAAATTAATGTACAAACAAAGGTCAATTTTTTTTTTATTAAAGAAAGACATTTGGATTTGAATGCAGGACAATGCTGCCGATTGAGTTCATGAAGCATTCAATGTTTTTTTTTCCCAAAAAACTAGATAGAAGATATGCCTTAAAAGGTTTAATATAAACACAAAAATTGTATGCGCTGCACCGTGATTGTACTGCTAAATAATATCTAAAATTAAAATTACCTCGTTTTTCTCGTATGGCACAAATTTGTATTTCTGTAGAATAGTCACGATGGCACATTTGGTTTCCATATAACCCAATCTCATAGCAACACAGTTCCTGGGACCCAGTCCAAACGGAAGAAATGTATATGGTGTCAGCTTAGACTTGTTTTTCACAAGAAACCTTTAAAGATTAAACAAGTTCATTGCTAAAAGGGGGGTCGTATTCAAAAAGACAATTGAGTTCAATTCGGGGAAATACGACAAAAATAACCCTCTTTTATATGTTGTAAGGAGTTTTGAAAATAAATGATTCATTAATAAGGATACAAAATGGAATCATTTTTGCATAGTTGACTCAGTGATGGGACTTACATAGGAATAAGTACCATGATTCTACTGGAAAAATAGATAATATTTTAAAACAAAAAGTTTTCTATCTTGAGATAAAAAAGGAACATGATACCTGTCAGGGTTATATTTGGAGGGTTCCTCCCAGTATTTTTGACTTCTGTGAAAAGCATAAACAGGAATCACAATTTCTGTATTTTTGGGTATAATGTAGCCTGCAATTTCCACATCCTGAGGGCTTTCTCTAGTGATCCTAAACAATCATGCACAAACATTTACATTTAAATGTTCCTTCTCAGTCCAAGTGTCCTTTCTCAAATCCAGATTTTATGAGTAATATGTAGTCTGGAAAGACATATATTCAGAGAGAGAGAGAGAGAGAGAGAGAGAGAGAGAGAGAGAGAGAGAGAGACCTTAGACCCAGTGGGTTTAAACGAAGTGCTTCTTTTACAACACAATCTAAATACTCCATCTTCTGTATGCTGTCATAATCCGGAGCTTCCTTTTTGCAATGAAATATATACATAATTTTTAAATGAAACAAATGAAATGATAATTATACATGATTTAAAAATATTGACGTAACTTGATTTTCTCTTCTGTATTAGAAAATACACCAATCTTCATTGAAATCTTCACGGAAAAAATCTTTCGTGAAGATTGAACCTGTATATTAACTGAATTTTTTCTGTGTATATTGTACCTGTCCAATAGTTGAATCTATTTCGGAAATCAGTTTGTCTTGGCATTCTGGATTTGATGCTAAGCAATATGCACTATACGTCAGAGTAACAGAGGTGGTCCCATAACCAACTGTCAGAAACGCGATAGAATTTCCATTTACTTCCTCTGTTGTAAGTCCTGTCGAGTAAACAAACAAAAACATAAATAATAAATAATAAATAAATAAATAAATAAATAAATACATAAACCATCGGCTGGAATAGTTGAATGGAATTATTTTCAATTAGTTTTTAAAGTAATTACAATGCGTCAAAAATCAATCTGTCATACCCCTTTTCTTCCATTGACCCTTGTCATCTTTATATTCTAGGAATTGTTCCGTGTCACTAACTTCAGTATCTTTATGTGCGTTAAGTAAGAGCTGAAGAAGATCAGCTCTGTCCTAAAATTAATTCAAACGCGTTGGTTGAATAATAAAATTTAACAAGAATTTCTTAAAAATAGGGGATTTTACAGATTAAATTATCAATTTAACTGAGGGGATTAAATTGGAATTAGTATCACATCTCCTAAGAAATCTAGTAGCACTTTCCCTTGAAGGTGAACTTATGCCAGCTATTAAAATACCTGGTCATTTCCTCTAAGTTTCTTAGCTTCTTCCACTAGATGTTTGAAGTATGCACATGCCTTGTTTAGACCATCTACGTCGAATCCTAATTGACATATTAGATAGTATAGGGGCGGAAAATATGCTGAAAAAGTAAAACAGTACAAGTTCAAACCTTACAACATCAATGGTGTTTCATCAGCAGTTTAACAGTTCTATGTTACAGCAATAAATCTAACTCTTGAGCAAAGCATTTTGTGTTCAGGTATATTCATATCTCTCTCTCTCTCTATAATAAATGTAAATAAGAATCAGTTGTTTAACCATTAATACGTGCTCCTAAGCCTGTGAATGCAGCAAATAGTGCATGTCCATGTTTTGCAAACTCATTTCTCTTCTCTTTATATAAATCCAACTCGATTCCAAATCCAATAGAGGCCATTGCGTCCATTGTAAAGTCTCCAAACATTCTAAAACAGAGAAATATATTCTGACTGAATAACTTTATATATATTCTTACAATGTGGACAAAAAGAACCTTGTATAAAAATGTTAATACATGCATTTGAAAAACTGGGTAAAAAAGGTTGTTGTTATATGGAATAATGCGGATTGATTCTGAATCTATTTTCCTTTGTTCTGAGAATTAACAAGTTGGCAAATACAAATTTTGAGCATTTGTAAATTAAGGTATGATTATACTCTGTCAAAGAAAACAAAAATTAATAATTTTGTAAATGTTAAATTTTTAAAAGGAAGACTTTTATATGAAATCAAAATCACGTCATCGTAACTTTTTTTGGCCATTTAGATTTCAAATGCAGCTATTTTAAGGCACTTTACAGCTCACAAACATAGAAAGAGGTTTACTTATTTGATACTTTGCGATAGAAATTTAAAATAAATGTATCTTACTTTCTGAATTCAATTGGATGTCCAGAATGCATTTCGTTCTCAACATTCTTAAGTAAATTCGCGCAAGACTGTGCAAGTATTGGAGCCATCTTTAAAGAAACAACAATAATATATACATGACAATACATTTTGAACAAGCTTTTATGTAACATGTTTTAATATCAGATCAATTTTCGTTTTACACATGGTTCAAACTATTGTATGTAAACAATGACAATATTGGAAACACTCAAGATTTGTCTGTAAGCGCAAACAAATTTATATGAATTATAACTGCTTCTTATAAATGTACATATACATCTTAAAGTCTTCAAATCAAACAGTTTCTTGGAGCTGAAATACTTATATATTTACATGTATACTGTGCCTTACCTTTCTCATTTTTCCAGAAGAAAATATCGGAGAAATCGTGTTCCTCGTGAATCTCCATTGGTCTCCCTTTAGTGTGGTAAGACTTCCCTTCATATCGTTTGCTCTCCTAAAAGTAGCCTGTTAATATAGACAAGAAAAAAAAACCATGCAGTTTAATTGAAGGTAATTTAATTTTTCGCTTTAGTCTTTACTTGCAATCGGTTCTCCCTTATATCAATGGAAAAAAAAATGAAATATAAAATGCAAATTAAAATAATTGTACATTAATTCATTATTCACAAAATATATTTTGCTCTATTGTTCGGAAGCCGCTAATGTTAATTAACACGTCAACTAAAGTCGATTTTCATCCCATAAACACCAAAAAGGGGCAGTTATGACTAATTCATGTATTTACATTTTCTAACTTACAGCTTATATATTAATCCGAAACCTCTGGTTCAAAGATTGATACATTAATAGGTATGTTTACTTCATAATACTACAATTATACATTTTGATTTTATCACATCCCTCATCTAGGCCTCTTCTTCTTTTTCTAACCAATATAGCAGCATATGAAGTCATGAAAATTAATTAAGACACAAAGAAATAGTAATGAATGCTTATGAATACCCCCATATTAACTGGCTTAATTATTCTACAGTTTTAGCAACATAATGATAGTCACTTGCTATTGTGTTGATCATGTTGATCATGTATTCGTTTAGGAAGTGATTACTAAACATAGTCGGAAAATAGCTCTTTTGAGCTAATGTTTTTTGGTATCAAAACCCGACTTTGAATGAATATAATCTTCATACACAAGATTTAGTCGAATATTGCAATACGAATCGTACATCATGTTATTTAATGACGTCAGTGATTCTTACTGATCTATTCGGGAAGGTTGAGAAATCCTTGATCGTAATATCTCGTGCTAGCTCCGGGTCCAGTATCAGGAGGGATGGTTTGTGGTACGTGTATATGCTATAAAATGAGAAAAATAAAACTCTTTGTATAGAGGAGTTGTATATGTCTTCACGTAATCGTGCCTAAATGCGGCTGTGAGATTCAAAACTCCATTTTATAAAATTTGATTTATGAAAAAGATGTGATAGTGATCAATCTCTTAAAATTAAACTAAAAGGATTGGAAACAGATAAAAAAAAACAGGTGGCATCAGGTGTCTAGATGGATAAGCTTCCCATATGGACTGGTTTCACCGCGTACGGTTAGGTAAACGAAGTATCCTTAGTCAGAATTACTGTAAAAACAATGGTCTGGCAATTGATTTGAAACATTTCAGTCATACTTCGACCCAACGACAGGTTGCATTTCCAGAAAGGGCAGTATAACGGCCATATGATTTGCAAATACTGACTTAAAACGAGACTGTTGAAATCCTGTGACATTAACTTATCTGTCAGTAACATCTCTTGGATTAAAATTTTATTGAACTCAAAATATGATCTGAATACGATAGGCTTACGTGTGATAGTAAAATGTTATTAACTATATATGAGGAGTTAATGATGGCAAAGCTGATGTCATCCCGTTACATAGCTTAGTTTTTAGGTTATCATTAACCTCTTTTATTCAATTAAACATCCAAATGTGAAACAGATATGGAAGATTTTATGTTCCTTTATTTCCTGGTCACTGGAATTCTCGTATATAAAATCGATATATGAATGAAAATGAATATCATTTATTGGTATAAACGTCGTCAACGTATTTTAATGCCTAAAGAAATGCCACAGATTTTTTTCCTCTTAAGAATATGCAATCGTTACCAAAAAATTAGCACTATTTGTGTCCATCGAAATTATTAAAGACAAAGCATCCAAAGACTACAAAGATATTGTTAACGAGGAACTCCAGCATTTTTAATTTCATCTTCAGAGTTTTGTGTGAAGAATCGGAATTATTTTTAATAAAATAATTCTGTTTTTAATCACAAGATCTACAAAATTAAAATGTAATTGTTTTGTTTAATGTTATGAAAATAAAGACTTGCATGATATCACGTAATAATGATTTCAATATCAAAGTTTGACCGTTGTTTTATAACAAATACAAAAGTCAAATCAGAAACTTTTTTGTATGTATGAAACCATGGAAGGAAATAACTGTCCTTAAGATGTGTCGGTATTATAATATTCTCTCACCAACCTATTTTTCAAATAGACACAAATATCTAGTATAGGTCTCTAATACATCAATGTACATTGTAAACTTTTCCAAATCACTTATGCTGATGAATTAGAAATGTATTGTCACGAATAGCTCTTTCATCAGTATGGTCAATATGTAGAGAAAGGACTAAATTTAAATGTTTGTTGACGCAGTTCAATGTGAGTCCTCCTAAGGTACAATGACTGTAAGTTCAGTAATCTACTTACCCAACAACTTTGTCGTACGTCGAATGCATTTTCAAGTCAAATTCTCCAACACCCTACATGATAAAAAAAAAGATTGTAAATGTTCCCTTAAGATAATGTAATGTAAAAATTGAATATATTCATTATAAGTTTTAAGACAATAGATATATGTTGCTCCCATGATTGCGTATTTAAATAATTTCTTTATGTATCCAATTTTCAAATGAAAGAATTAATCTAAATTATTAATGAATTAATTTTTAATCAATGAATTTCTTTAATAGAAATACTTAAATATATTATTGACTTACATCTTTCATCAAAGGGCTGAGGCCTATAAATATTGTAGGCTTAGGGTGAGGAACACCATATCTACTCCAAAACCTCAACTTATATTTTGAATACCTTTCATTCAAAAGAAAACCAATTCAAGACAATTAATGCTTAGTTTATCGTTGTACAAACAGAAATCTCACCGAGTAGATCTTCTCTTCAAACGATATTGCAGCTGATTATTTATTTTGGATTCTTTTAATTAAAATATTAAAACTTGTACGGACTCCGTTTGAAGATTTTTGTAATTATTAATGCATTTTTATCTCTACATTAAGTTTTATTTCAATACAATTTTAAAACGAACATGTAAGTCTTTCATTATATTTACTTGGGCAGGAGGGGAGATAGCCTCCTAAACAACATTATCAATATTCATACATTGAAATTAAAATTTACTTGAATTTCCCTCTCAAATGTACTGTTATATTGAGATTTTAATAACAAGCTTTAGTGTAAAAGAATTAAGCATAATTGTCAAAGGAAACTCAAAAACGTTTGCAAAACACTTGTCTTTAGTAACAATTATGAACAATCATGGCTGTATAGTTAAAAATTCCAAAGAGGGACCCTAAAATTGCGTTCATTGTAAAATTATTGTAACACAAATAAAAAAAAGAAAGAAAAGAAGCTAAGAAAAAGGACACAAAAGAAAAAAGCGAGGGTTTTTTGCTATACATTTTTAAAACGTTCCAATTTAATTAACAAGAATAGATATAATTTGAAATGTATACACAAATAGATCTATTTTCATTGTTGATAAAGGGGTTTGGACACAAATTTGAGGTTAAAACTTTCTATTATTTTCAATATAATATCATGACTTATATGTTGTTTGAGCATTTCTCATCGGAATATTATAAAAGTGTGTTGAGAAATTTCTTTTATCTGAAAATTATCAAATCTACGAATTTAGGGATGCGTTTGAGTGACAAGCATCATTGCATAAAGTAAACTTTATCCTTAATATTTAAGCAAAGTGGGGAAATTGTTGTGTATTAATGATCAGTATCAAAACTATCTACTAGAAAAGAAAGCAATCCAACTCACGTGTATTGTCAGTCCGTGCTCAGTGATGTGTGCAGAGTGTACAAAATGAACACACCCGATATGACGCAAATAATAAAAATAACAGAGCTCGTGCCCTGTCTAAAAACACAGCTGTTTGACTTGATGTTATGAATAATATCCTTGTCAATGATTTCGAAGAATTATCATATAATTTTTTTTTTGAATAAAAATTTTAAAAAAGTGTAAATAAAACGGCAATATACAAATGCAATAATACAATTGGACTAAAATAAAAAAAAGTTCCAAACTCTTTGATAAAAATGTAAAATTATATTTTTTACTGTATGCATAAAAAACATGAAACTTTGAATGCAGTATGTTTTTGTATAAGTTATTGTTAAAAAAAAGAGGCACCAGAAAATGTTATTATATTTTTTACACAAATAATTCCAAACTAAGATTGAGAATTTGAAAGTAAAAACTTACAAGTATAGAGACAATAAAAACAACAATAAAGTCAGGAGCCAGACGGGCACAACAGCAATTCCCAGGACCTCCATCATTAGGCAGCTGTGAAGTACTGAAATTAATGTACGAGGGACTGACACTGTCATAAAGTAGCATAAACTTTAATAATATTACTATTTCTTACCAAAGCGATTTAAGTTCGCTTTGATGTGTGTGTGTGTGTGTGGGGGGGGGGGGGAGATGTGAACCCTATAAAAACTCTGAAACTTCTACATTCAAATAGAGACGTTGCCAAAATAACATTGCTCGACTGAATATTTTATTAATATTATAAATAATTACAAACAAATTTGATATTTTCCATATGCTTAATAATGTGTCTCATTCTTCTCACTTATTCCTTTTTCTCAATTGAATTCCACCTTACATTTCATAAATCATATATATGTATTTCATCAATAAAAAAGGTCCGGAGTTATGTTAAAAATCTATAGTACAAATGTATGATACAAGTGCACCCGACATTAAATATGCAACAAATAAGGAACAATACTTTGTTGCTGTTGAATTTCATTTTGAATTGACATATTCGTAACTTAAAAGTTTGCAAAGTACACAATTTACAATATACGGAATATGAAAAAGGTGAAAATAATGATCTTGTTCAATTTCATTAATCCTGTTAACAATACGAAATGTTAACAAGGCAAATACACGAGCCCCTGGAATCACCAAAGGTAAGATCAGGTACCTAGGAAGTGTAATCGTATGAATATAAATAAATAAATAAATAAATAAATATATATATATATATATATATATATATATATATATATATATATATATATATATATATATATATATATATATATATAAGGGACGTCAATTTGTAATCCGTTAACCGGTTACTCGGTCTCGGTCGGAACGATTGTAAGCGGTTAAAAAATCGGTAACCGGTTAGTCGGAAAAAATCCATATATGTGTAAATTTGAACACATTATCCTGAAGATTCAATCAAAAAATATAGATGAAAGTATATGAAATGTTAGCATTTTCACCTTTTTTTTCTTAGGCTGACCCAGGAGATAATTAAGACTCTCCTAATTGACATCGTAGGGGTAATTAGTCCGCTTTCGAGATAAACACTATGTTGCTACCCAGTCGGTCCCATGTTTCTTTAATGATAAATTTTAATTGAATGATCGTTGAGTACTGTGAACTGATTATAATGTGTTCCTTATCACTTCTATCCTTTGCAGTTAGCTATCAAATTATATTGTAAAATAAATATTGTAAATTAAGCAATAGTTCAGACTTAGTTTTGATTATGGTGAAAATGCAGATTGAACTTGTGTGACATCTCTTCTGATTTTTTTAATGTACTTGATTCTTTAGGCATATTTCATGGGTTTCTTATTTTTTTTTCATTTTGCTTTAAAATTTAAATAAAAAATATATATTGTTCTGATAAACATAATATTACTACATATAACATCTTTATAGTTTGTCAATTTGGGTAAGGCGTACAATAATGAATTATTATTTTTGATACGATTAACCGATTAATCGGTCGGAATGTCTTGCGGTTAACCGATTGGCAATTCTGTGTCCGATTGCCACCCTAATGTATTTTTATATATATATATATATATATATATATATATATATATATATATATATATATATATATATATATATATATATATATATATATATATATATATATATATATATATATACTGAAAGGAAAAAGAAACGCAGGGTAAACTTTCTAGGTGAAATAAGGTAATATATTTCAGACGTATTTTCCAGTTATCCTATCTAACATTTAAAACCATCTTTAAAAATGTAAACAGAATCTCATTTGAGTTCTCAATAATTCATGAGTTATTGAAACTCGTATGACGGTATCCCCCAAAAGTGAAAAATGAAATTCTCATTTTATCACATGTCTCCCTCGCGCATCTGTCACAGCCTTGATTTTCCTATGCATGGAGTTAATCAGTGTGTTTATCCTTCTAATAGGGATATTTTTCAACCCTTCCGAGAAGGCAGCCCTTAGTTGATTGAGACCAGCTTGGACATTTTAAACCCTATCGTCCACGTAGTCCCACAGACGGTTGATGCGTAAAAGATGGACTTGACTGAGACCAGTCAAGTGGATAAATGTGATTGTTTGCGAGAAAATCTTGACAAACCCTGGCAGCATCGGGAGGGGGGTTAACGTGCCAAAAGAATGGGCAAACGACGCACGCATGCACAAGTTAAAGGAACACTTACGTAAAGTTGACGAGCTCACAAACCAAAATCGCGCTATCGATTTCCTTCAACTTTGGGGTGAATGTAACGATTATGATAGCCTGCTCTATAAATAGCAGTTTTAAATGTGATGGTGACTATACAGGTGGCAGGATGAATAGCCCGATCTCGACGAGGCGCTGTTACGCGTCAACGTCATCGTCACGGTTGGTTGGAAACCTTTCTACGCAATCTCTGAGGACGGGTAAGACGTTCCATCGTGGAAAAATTCACAGCAAACTGTACAGAAACCTGTCGTCGCCTTTGTCTTTACTTAGGCAATGCAATAGCCAGACCCCATGGTACTTCCGTCAACTGTACCTTGATTTCAAGAAATGCAAATAGACTGTAAATATCGAAAAACGATGTGTATAACTTGAGTGCAGCAAATGGTTCTACGAGATGTGTTGAAAAACATGTCGTCATCGATATGCACGTGTTTTCGGCATTTTACCACTTTCCTTATGTCACGTCATACATTTCAAGGTTGAGTAGTCCTAAACACTTATTTTAATGCACAGTAACCAAGATATCCCTCTGACCAATTTTCATAATTTTCGGTTATACAGTCAAAACTTTTCGCATATTATGTTACCCTGCGTTTCTTTTCCTTTCAGTATATATGGTCCATTTATTTCTCTTCTTTAATTTCTATACTCTTCAATATTTTTTTAAAACAGCTACTTTTAAACCTGTATATTCTACAAAAATTGGTTTTACATTTAGATTTTTGAGATACTCAAGGCATACACATTTTCCATCAGAATCAAGTAGATCTCTTATAAAAACAATGCCTGCATCAAAATATTTTTAAAGAAATATAGATAAGTGGTTCATGTTAATTCTTGAATTAAACCATATATGTTCATGAGGAATTTGTATATTATTTTGGCTACCAGGATCAGTGATTGGTCCAATCAAGTAAAACCTCTTTCCAAAACTTGTTACTTTATTTATTACAGTTAACAGTAAAGTCTAAACCCCTTACCCATAGAGATTCAATTTTCATTCCTAATTCTGATTCAAGAAGTTTTAGCCAATTAGTGTCTGAATGAATCAATCTTCGGATCCATGAAATTTATGGAGATAACGAACAGTATTCAAGCTCAAAAGTCCATTAAACAATACAAAATAGGAGCAGAGCAAACACGGACCTCCAAAACATCAGAGGTGGAATCAGGTGCCATGGAGGAGTGAGCATCCCCTGCCGACCGGTCACACCCGCCGTGTGCTCCTTGTCATGATCGGGAAATAACGGAAAAATTCGTCGACAATTCAGTGTGTAAATAATGGCCTAACAATTAGTATGAAAAACATCAGTCAGCATTTGACTCAATGATAAATTGTATTTGCTGACAAGGTCATTGTATCGACCATAGAATGTTGATTTTAATGCACATAGAAAATCCATATATTCAATCATCTTCAATCCCCATTTCTACAGTCTTAAGATATAATGTTTTTCTTAACACTATGAATTCTACTACCCCATAGAAAGTAGAAAAGGTCTTTCTCAAATTCTTCTAGAAGTTTCTTATTAGGGTTCGGAATAGTTAAATTTATATTACTATCATACGGTTCATCTTGGGAATAATCAGGGATTTATTCACTGTTAATCTACCAAGTGGAGTAGTTTTCTTAACTGTCATTGTTTTATTAACCGCTTTATTTCGTTTATTTTTTTTTTTTGGGGGGGGGGGTAATTCAAAACGATCATATCGTTTAAATTGGTGGGAAATTTCATATCAAGAAGATCAAAAGTAAAATCATACCAATCCAGCTTCCATCTAAGTGATGACAAAATTCTATAGAAATTGTTTTACTGCCAATCAAACCATTTTAGTTCTTTTTAGAGTTATTTTCAGACCAGATACAAATGAAAAATAGTCAAGTTCTTTCAATATACTATGCGTAGACTGTGGTGATCCATCAGATATTACTGAAGCATCATCGGCTATTGTGAAAGTTTATATTCTTCTCCATCAAATAGAATTCCTTTTATATCTTTATTGTTTCGAATTAGGATACCCAGAACATCAGCACAAAGTAGTCGCCCGCGCAGTGGTTAGAGCGTTTGCTCTAGAGTCGCGAAGAAAGGAGTTGATCCTTACGTCGCGGGTTCGAATCCCACTATGGGACGTGGAGATCGGTCCTTCGGATGATAACGTAAAAACTGAGGTCCCGTTTCGCAGTAGGTGCTGGCACGAAAAAGATCTCTCACTGCTCAATGGTCGTAAGTGCCGAGTATAGGACAAAATTTGCAGCTCTCCACCGGCAAGTGGTGGCGTCTCCATATTATATCAAAATATATTATATCGAAATTATCAAAATTACGAATATTGGGACACTTTGATTGATACGCATTATTGCACTTCCATGAAGTAAACTTTATCCTTAATACTAGCATTTAAGAAAAAAAGGGAAGTGTGTTACGTATTAGTGATCAATATCAAACTATAATCTAGAAAATTAAGAGTAGAAACGTGAAAAAGCAATCCAACTTACTTGCATTGTCAGTCCATACTCAGTGATGTGTGTAGAGTGAACAAATTGAACACACCCGATAAAACGTAAACATTAACAATAACAGAGCTCAAGCCCTGTTTACAACATAGATGTTTGACGTGATGTTATGAGGAATTTCCTTGTCGATAAATTTTAAGAATTTTCATATTTAGTTCAATTCATTTAACTGAAATTATGTTTGAATAAAAATAGAGATATTGTAAATAAAATGGCTATATGCAACCGTGTTCAGACCCCCTTACGGTTGAACATGCATGCAATAATACAATTGGACTAAAATAAAACGTTCCAAACTTTTTGCTAGAAATTTAAAATTATATTTTTATGTCTGAACAGGTATACCGTTTACATAAAAAAACATGAAACTTTGAATGCACAAATGTATTTATCAAAGGTTCGAATAACATGTGTTTGTGTTTTTATTTATATCTGTAATCTACTGGGTGTAATACTGGTCACGTCAACGTTGTCAGGTGACATTTAAATATTCATTGCCCGGGTTTTAACTGACCGCTGTTAGCGCCGAAAGTTTTATAGCCATTCGAAGGCTCTTTTCAGTGCAGGTAACGGAATCCCCACCCCACCCGCCCTTGTTTTACATGTTTATTAAGATTTTATATTAAAAATACTGTTTTCTTTTGTAAAAAGGAAGACAAAGAAAAAGTGTATATGTACATACGTAAAAAGTAAAATGCACCATCACGCTCCACATCCCAATATACGTGTTTGTGCTTATTTTATAAATTATTTATGTTCGTTTGAGTGGCAGGAATAAGAATATAAGTAGGTTTTTTTTGTATGAGTTATTGTTAAAAAAAGGCACCAGAAAATGTTTTTGTATTTTTTACACAAATTATTCCAAGCTAAAATTGAAATCAGAAGAGTGAAAACTTACAGGCCGGTATAGAGACAATAAAAACAACACTTAAGTCAGGAGCCAGGCGGGCACATCAGCAATTCTCAGGACCTCCATCATCAGTCAGCTGTGGAGTACTGGAATTAATGTACGAGGGACTGACACTGTCATAAAGTAGTGTAAACTTCAATAATATTACTATTTCTTATCAAAGAGACTTGTTCGCTTTGATGTGTGTGTGTATGAGGGTATGTGTGTGTGTGTAAACTGTAATAAATCTGAAATTTCGACGTTGCCCAAATAACAATGCTCACCTGAATATCTTATTTATTCCAAAAAATTTAGAAACAAACTTGATATTTTCCATATGTTTAATAATGTCTTTCCATTACAAGAATTATTTATTCCTTTTCTCATTTGAATTCCAACTAACATTTCATAAATCATATACACGTATTTCAATAATAAAAAAAATGTCGGGAGTAATATTTAAAATCTATAGTAGCAAATGGCTGATGCAAATGTACAAGACATAAGATATAAGATGTTCGTGTACAACAAATAAGGAAGAATCTTTGTTGCTGTTGAAATTATAATGAATTGGCACAATCGTAACTTAAAATTATGCAACTTACACAATTTATAACATATACATGTACATTTAATATGAAAAAGGGTGAAAATAACGAGCTGTAATCAATTCCATTAATCACATTTAAGCAATACGAAATGAGAACAGGACAAAAACACGAGCCCCTGGAATCACCAAAGGTAAGGTCAGGTACCTAGAAGAGTAATCGTATGTAAACATTTACCCCAGTTTTTGTTTATGTATACATTCTGAACACAACCTTCCTGGAACATTAGTGTTTATATATTCAAAAATCTAATTGGTCATTTTTTTGCTTCGAAACATTAAAGAATAGTTTATAAATTACAAAATGAAGTTAAAATCACGAGAGCTTGCGTTCCTCCATCTCCAGGAAGAGACCGTTCTTTGGCTTCAGAAGCACTCTGGAATCAATTTTCAAGGGAATCTGGAATAAATTAAAAAAAAAACACAACACTTTAATAGAAAATTGAATACACTTTTCAAGCAATATCCGGGTAAAGGAAAAAAAAATGCATGGCATACTTAACTTTATGTACTCAAACTTTCAGAAAATCATGCAAACGCTGCTGATATTGAGGTATTCAATAAAAGACCATAAACGCAGCGATAAAAAGTTACCTCAGTCTTATCACATGGGACAAACTTGTATTTTTGAAGAATGGTGACTAAGGCACATTTAGCTTCCAAGTAAGCCAGGCGCATCGCTATGCAGCTTCTTGGTCCAAGTCCGAACGGAAGGAACGTATATGGGGTCAAGTTAGACTTGTTCTTTGCCAAAAATCTTCAAAAATAGAAATCAGTGGAGTTGATATGAGATTTCCTCGATCATTTGCCAAAGGGATTAAGTTTGACGCTATATATAAGTAAGCATTCTCCTATAGTTCAGAAAAGTTAAATCGAAACGGAAACATTATTTTCAACTATAAATGAATTCTTGAAGAAATCGATATTGCCCTGCTCGATGATCTCATTTTTAATTTAGTGAATCCATTCTATGTAATACATACAATGATTTTAATAATTGTCAAACAAATCAAATACATGAATATTAAAAAATCAAGTTATTAATGTTAAAAAATAAGATTAATTCAATGACACAGATGGTGAGTTCAAAATCTAACGAAGTAAGTCAAGTTTTCTTAACACTAGCACCAATAAATACATCATACATTTATTTCAGTGTGGAAGGAAGTGAATTTTTTTACGTAACGTAGAGTTAGTTGCAGTGGAAAGATTTTGATACCTGTCAGGGTCATATTTTATTGGGTTTTTCCAGTATTTCGGATGTCTGTGAAGCGCATATATTGGTATTGATATTTCCGTATTTTTGGGTATGTTGTAGCCAGCTATCTCCAAATCCACATCGGTTTCCCGAACTGTTCTGTTTGTATAATAAATACATAAAAAAAAATGTTTGTATATTACCTTTTCAATATGTTTTTAAAACGTTATGCATTTATACTAGTCAAGCTACTTCATCAATAAGAGAGAGAGAGAGAGAGAACCTTTGCGCTGGGGTATACAATCGTAATGCCTCTTTTATCACACAGTCTAGGTATTCCATCTTTTGTGTATTGTCATAATCAGGTTGATCCTGTAAGAGATTTATTTCATTTTTATAAAAACAAAGACACATTTCAGTTCACACTGCACCAGCAATAGTGACTCAATTGTTAACTCCACTGGAGGGCCAAATAAAAAAATATATTTGTTCGGAAAAATTAAAAAATCGTTCGGACGAATAAGAAATTTGCACAAAAGTCATTTTGACATTATGACTTTAGATATGAAAACGATATTCTATGAGCTATATCCAATGTATAAAGGAGTAAATATGTGATATATATATATATATATATATATATATATATATATATATATATATATATATATATATATATATATATATATATATATATATATAAAAGAATATATTTGTGGTTGCTTTGAATACCTGTCCAACAGTTGAATCTATTTCTTCCAGCAGTTTGTCCTGGCATTCCGGATTTGTTGCCAAACAATATGCAGTGAAGGTCAGAGCTGATGCCGTAGTGTCGTATCCAGCGATCATAAAGGCAATGGAGTTACCATTAATTTCATCATTTGTTAAACCTGTCATCATGTTAAAGTGAAATAGCAATTTATTAAAATTGGACTTGGAATGCTCTATTATATCCTATGCACAATTCGGATTTAAACTGGGTTTCTCAACAATTGATGCCATTTTTGTTTTACTTACAAAGATTACCAGACAATTAAGTCGTACAGGTGTTGGATTATACTGTTGTTTTATAGTTTATAAAACATTTGATTCAATAGATAGGAGCAACCTTTGAGTTAATAAAACAGGGTATTGAATGGAAATTATTAAAAAAACAATTAAAGTACTATATTGCATAATGAAAACATTTGTGAAATCAAACGGTGTATTATCTGAATTTTTTCGAACATAGAATTGGTTTACTACAAGGTGTCTTCTATCATCAATGTTGTTCTCCCTCTTTGTTAATGATTGTGAATTACATATGCATTTTATAAAAAAAACATCTGTCCCTCTTCTGGCTTAACATGTTCTTTCCTTGTGTTTGCTGATGATATGGGCCTTTTAGCGGAATAATTAAATGAATAATTATTACCTGAATATTGAAACTAAATATGCAGTATTTGACATAATTTGACATAATATGCTGAAATATGGGATTCTCAGATAAAATTATGTTGAAAAAATACATATAAAATTTCGTAAGAAAGACCTGGGTCTCAAATATCATGTACTCCCATATAACATCGTGATGGTATAATATGAATTAGGTACAATGCCTCTCTATCTTTCAAGGAAACTTCAAAATTTCAAAATATTGGCCTAAAACTTGGTCAATACAAATAACTGAAGATAAAGGCGTGTTCTGAAGAAAAAATAAGGAATGATGAAAATTGGTTTACTGAGAATTCGAATGAATTTAAAAAAACTTGGTTCAAATTGCCTTCTGTTCCAAACCTCTGGTATTCTAGGGATCATGTCAAAGTTAAGCAAATTGGTTTGGTGTGTATTGCCAGGAACTCGTTAACATTGTTAAGTCATCCAATATTGAAAAGTTTTTTTAATATATTGCAGACCATTTCTGTTTACAGTATTATTTATCAAAACCTATATAGTCATAAACAGGTTGAAGAAGGTAGATATGTTAATATGTTTATTATGTGACGATGTAGAAGATGATTTTCATTTTATCTTACATGTACAATGCCCTCTTTATCATGATCTCAGAAAACAATATAATAATTACCTCGCTTTTTCCATTCATCTTTATTGCTTTTATAGTCATTCATTTTCTCCGTGTCATTAACCTCATTGTCGTTATGGGCATCCAACAAAAGCTGAAGAATATCAGCCCGATCCTAGAAGGAATCATGCAATAACACATCATGCCTCACATGGCTATTTACATAAAGTTACAATCACTTCTGTGTTATTGGTATACATAGTAAATGAGAACTGAATACTATCAAATTTGCTTTAGTATTATATACAATGTTCTATAACAAATATAAAGAATTGGACCAAAGGACTTTAATCATTGATATTATTTATTTGCTGGAAACTTCATCATCCTAAATGCCCTGGACATATTACTTCACTAAAAAGTCGCCCGCGTGGCGTAGTGGTTAGAGCGTTCACTCTAGAGTCGCGGAGTGAGGAATTGATCCTTATGTCGCGGGTTCGAATCCCACTGTGGGACGTGGAGACCGGTCCTTCGGATGAGACCGTATAAAACCGATGTCCCGTGTCGCAGTAGGTGCTGGCACGAAAAAGATCCCTCACTGCTCAATGGCCCTAAGTGCCGAGTATAGCTCAAAATTTGCAGCTCTCTACCGGCAGGTAGTGGCGTCTCCATATGAATGAAAAAAAATATCGAGAGGAACGTTAAACAATAAAAAACAAACTTCACTAAAGACAGACAGATATGATGATAAGGAAAGTGCATAATATGTCTTTGGTACAAAAAGGTTGTTACACATTTTGACATTGTTAATTATGGGCCTAAATTTAATGATACTGAGCGAGGAATCATATGTATATGATATGGCTCAAGATTTACAATGCATAATGAATGTTAATTGTACTTATTTTTAAATATATAAGTATTAATTGTATATTACAGAATAAACTGGGAAAATCAACCGAAGGTAAGACTGACAAGAGGTTGAGGAATTTTTGATATAACACCTATTTTGAGGATGCACTATATGCCATCAACCATTTCATCCATAAGATTTTTTACCACTTTTTGAAGAATTATTTCCAGGTAAAAAAATACTCCCAATCATCAATAGTCTTAAGTCTTCAGTGCCTAACAGTGTAGAAGATCCCAAATAAAAATACCACCTATCTGTCACACTTAGTCACAGAAGAAGTTTTAGAAACTATGGCTGAGAAAATATTGCAGCTCGTTAGTAATATAGTCTGTTTTCAACATTTGAAAATGTCATTTGAAAGAACTGGGCATATGGATATCAAAAATCATCTAAAGAGCAATTTTATGATAAGTCTTTGGTAACAAAATGTTTAAAAAAATCATTTCGGCTGTTTACATTTGTTTTAATATTCAACGGAAAGGTAACTAATAATACACCAAGTTTTTTGTTGAAATTTGACAGTTTTTATTTCCATTTCTCAAAGAGCAAGGGCCACTTAGGGCCTTTTTTGGCCCTGCATATTTCTGAAAAATGAAAACTTCATAGTTTTAGTCGACAAGGCAATGAATATCACTAGAACACTTGGTAACTGAATTTCTACTAAAAATGACGTAATTTTCTTGCTAGTTAACGCATTATGACGTCATGAATTGCGTCATTATTCACATATCCCGAATATTTCTTCAGAATTCGGCAAAATATGATCTTTTTTTTTCAATATCTCGTATACAGCACAACCTCCGATCCAAAATGTGCAAATATATTATGGAAGAACTGCTTATTAAAGGGTACCTGCAGTGGCTTTTTATTATTAAATATGTTGTAGATCATGCTAAAATAAAACTAAAGAAAAAAACCGCACCGAAATCTATGCACAACTAACGAAGCTATTGGGGAAAAACCCTATTTCACACCTGAGCGATTTTCTGAAACGCTCGGTTTTCGGGCCTTAGCCGCTGTGACGTCACAACATGTACCGGCCATTTTGAATGCATAGAATACGGTGGAAACACGATGAGGTTTTTTAGTGTTTTTTCCATTAATTTTTAGGGATTTTGTGAATATTAAATTAACTATGACTATAGTATTTGCTCTTATTTTTGTTTGAAATTAGTTTAGTGAATATTTTTTTCATTATTTCTTTGTGTGTGGTTATAATAAGTAACGATACAAGGAATTGCCAAAAATCATCGATTCATATTTTCCAACAATTAGGAATCGATGGGTTATGCCATTTCTATCGTCATTTTTTTCCTTCCGAATATGTATTGACATTTTTTTAAATTCTATTTGTAAGCAATAATCACAAAAAGACAGTACAGGCGACCGTTTCACTAACAAATCGTAGATCGTAAACGTACGTTAATAAAAGAAAACATTTCTAATTTAAATAAAAAAAAGTAAGTACAGGGTTAGTGTATAGGTCCCTGGTAAGTACTTATATGATGTTTGCTGTTGTATTCTTTGAAAAGTGAAAGTATAGAATACGCGTATATATTTTTCTATTATTTAGTATTGGGAAGTACATAGAATTAATATGAGAGAGTGAGTGAGACTGAGATTCCCTTGTTTAACACCCCTCCCCATGTTATTGATTCAACAAATGTTATTTAATTTTATGTTCTTCGTTATATCTTCAATATCAGTAACATTTTTATTATTATATTGGATTGTTCATTTTTAACGTCAGTTGAATTTATAAGTACCCCCCCCCCCCCCCCCCACACACACACACATAATTTTTTGATTCAAACAAGTGTTTCTGTATTCATCTTTCTTACATAATCTGTCAAAGCCATTTTAAATAAATTTCTTGCTTATTCAACTTCTGTTTATTCGTGTTTCTTATTTTCCTGCACCAGGGACCTGTAACAGGCTCGTCTCCGTGGTTACGTACGAAATCCACGTGCTTCACCTGTCAATCAAAATCACTCGACGCAATCTTGAATGGTGCGATTTGAGACATTCATCGGCTCCTTTGTCAAATATATAGTGGGACATAAATAAATAGCCGGAGGTACCGAATGTTTATCACACCTTTCCAAGTCATCGGTCTTGACCATGGCAAGTGTATTAATCACGTAATCCCAAGTCCTACCCCACCACACGTGTAAATTAAACTGATTACCAAGAACTTGTTGAAAAATCTGATAGATTAAATATTTTACACTTTAATGAATTAAAACTGTTTAGTCTGTCAAATGGTGATTTGTATACAGTTTAAAAAAAATATACAAAACACAAGTATATTCACCTAACTTTTAGTTCATATTTTACTGAATTATAGTAGATTGTCTGTTGAATTAGTGATAATTAAAAAAAATGATTTTTTTTTTCTCAGTTGACATGTTATTCTTCTAAATTCAATATACATTTAGAATTTAAATTATTCATAAAACCACTAACGATCGGAATTACATATATGAGTTTTGTTTCCGAATCTATTACAGATTTGATAAGGGGAGGGGGGTCTTCTGTAATTAGGACCATAGACTATGAGAGAGAGAGAGATGAGAGGGGTTAAGATTTATTTAGCATTGCAGACACACTATTTGATATAATGTTAAGTGTTCTAAATTTTTATTTTGTAAATTAATTTTAATTAGTAGTGACAAAAAAATTATAAGTATATTACCATAATTAGGAGTACGCGGATATCATTATTTAACAATTAGTTTTAATAACTTGTATATTGATAATGACCCGATTTTTGAAAATATATTTGGTCGTGACTTTGAAGTAAAATTAAATTGATAATATTGCTGCTGCTGATTGCTAAATGGTAACAACTGATTATCAAATTTAGACATAGAAGAATTTTTATCCAAACGAGAAAATCGTCAATTATCATTTAGCCAATAGTAATGAAGATCTTGTTGAAATAATTAACAGCTTTGATGAACGAACTGTTTTAGGACATTGAAAATATAGAATTAAAAATTCCTGTATTTTGGTTTTGATGATTTTTTCCCCAGTCATATTCAGTAGGCTGTAACAGGGAGATATATACAGGAACTTTAATTGTAGTATACACGACCCTGGCTGTAGGTTGTTTTGAAATCTCTATAAATTCCTCGTTAGAATCGGTTTCTGGTTCAGCCTAGTAAGGTCTGATGCAAAGCTCAATAATTATTCCGTCTGAATTTTTAAAACTTATATACCAATGCCTCATATCAAAGCTAAAATCGTCGTTGTTTTCCAAGTTAATCTCATTGTCGTTAATACAGACCCGCTTATGCGGTACATGTTGTGACGTCACACCAGTAGAGCCTCGTTATCGATCATTTCTATTTTCGCTTGATTGGATTTTCAAAACAGGTAAAAAAAGGCACTTTTAAAGCGCGATAACTTCGTTATTTGTGCATAGATTTCGATGCGGTTTTTTTCTTTCGTATTATTTCATTGTGATCTTTATCATTTCAAAAAATAAAATGCTACTGCAGGTAATCTTTAAGATCATAAAACATATTTTAATTTTTGGATCGAGAGGTGTGCTCATATTTTAATTCTTTGTTGAAGGTTCTCAAATTCACCCGTTTTCTGCAAAATTCAAGAACATCGCAATTTCACACAACCTGCTTTCCAGTACCTGAACTCTTTAGAGGAAACTTTTATATACAAACTCAAAGCGCTAAGTCTCTACTTTGAATTGATGTTGAGAAAGGGACAAAATGTGTTAGTGGATAAATTGGTTTATCTACAGGGCCATTTTATGCATAAAGTGAACCTAGCTCTTTCACCAGCAGATTTTCTATGTTTGATATATATTATATATATATTGATAATTTTTGTATTATAAGTTAAACAATATTCTGTGCTTACTCGTTTTAATTTTAATAATTGCTCGTATATGAAGTATGTTTTTCCATTAGATTGTAATTTTTATTTTACATTTTTATTGTTATTAAGTTTTTGTTATTGTATTTATTTCATCTGATGTTATTATTATGCTTCTAGCCACTTTCCGCTTTATATTTGTGTTTCATATAGTTTTTGCGTTTTTATGTTGTAATGATGTGCAATATATTAAGATGCAATAAATTCTAAAATTAGGGTTGATTTGATATGGTCTTTCACATTAAGATTAATTGATGATTATATCAAATATTTCTACTCATTTGATGAATTTTGGAGACATTTTTGTTTGGACGCCCAGACTCCTTACAATAAAAGATTTGCACCTGTATTTAAAAAAACTTATTTAAGGGGGCCGACTGGGGTTTTCATTGCGCAATACTTCGCGCAGCATAGTAAAATAAAGCGTATTTACTCTTTTAATGCAACTAGTTTTACATAATTTATAAAAAATAACAAATTTAGGAAATATGAGGTCAAAAAATCTAATAACGTTTTTAAATAACTGATTTTTTTAACGATTTTTCAAATGATGGGTAGAAAGACGTCGTAATAGTGTGTTTTTGACGTTATGAATAACCGAAGTTCTTTAAGCGGGGTCATTAATTATGCCATAAAATAAAAAGAATAAAATGTATGCTCTTGGAATTTTGAACATAGGAAATTGAGAATATAGCAATCATTGTTACTATTTCTTATGTAAATCTGTGGTATCTGTCATGTTTTGTTTTACTCCATAGAAACAGGAAAATATCATGAATTTTGACATTTTGAGATGTCCCCTCTGGAAACCAGACGGTAGAATTTTGTGTTTCTTGCACAAAATGTACAATATAGTATTACCCATCAAATAATAAAATTTGAGCAAAAAGTCTATAGTAGTATTTGTATAATTTGCTCCGAAGTGCGAAAAAATGGTATTTTCCTATATAATCCTATAGTAAATGTACCCGTATTTTGAGACGGTCCCTGAAAAATAACCAGACCGTAGATTTTCACTAAACTTGGCATGTATACTGAAGTCAATGTAAGGTATATAGGGTATAAAATTAAAGAGTATCTCTATAGTAGTTTTCACACAATAAAACCCCAGTCGGCTCCCTTAATTGAATCAATTAATTCACTAAGCTATAAAATAAACAGTGTGCTTTACCTTATCACCCTTTTCTCTCTGTGTCCTCGCTTGTTCCACAAATTGTCTGAAAAATAAACAGTGTTTGCTTTGTCCATCCATGTCAAAACCCAACTTAACAAGAAGCTTATAAAGAGGTGGCATAAAACCTGAAAAATACAATTAGAATGTATTTACATGGGAAATTAAGTATGAGGCAATGAGGTGTTGAGATACATAAAAAGAGTGTAACAAAGGCAAACATTGAAAGAAGAATTATTTATAAAGTACTAGTAAACAGAATAAGATTCCGAATTTATAGTTGTCAGAGTTTCTTTATACATATTTCAAAAGATTTGATTCCTTGTATTGTACCACTAGTAAAATTCTAACAATGTTAAATATGTATGCATGCACTCCACCATATTGAGTTTTTTTTTTACATTTATGTTAACATTTCTGTGTTTGCTTTTTCTAGATTTAAAGTATTTGAAAATTTAATGCTCCCCTCACTATCGAGAATAACTCCAAGGCCTCCAAATGCAAGAAACACTTCTTTTGCCTTAGTTACAAATTCATTTTCGTCTTCTTTATACAAATCCAATTGCATTCCAAATCCGAGAGAAGCGATAGCATCCATTGTAAAGTTTCCAAACATCCTGTGAAAGAAGGAAATTAAAATAAATATTTAAGTATTTTCAAGAATTTTATGTTTGAATAATAACTAAAGGATTTCACATGCATTATTTTCATAGTATACGTAATTAAGGATATTTTAACATAATTGTTCATCACAATTAAAATAAAAAAAAACTTACCTCTTGAATTCAATGGCATTACCAAGTCTCGATTCATGTTCAATACTGTTGAACAATCGCTGACAAGCTTGTGTAAGTGCTGGACACATCTGCATTATATAATAATTTTCTGACCTTTTATGCATTCATTTGCAAAAGTCTATTATGTTTTATCAATTTTTTCCTGGTATAAATGTTGTACACACATATGATTATATATATATATATATATATATATATATATATATATATATATATATATATATATATATATAAGATTAAAAATCTTCTTCTCAAGAACCACAGGGCCAGAAAAGATGAAACTCATGTGGAAGCATCCTCAGGTAGTGTAGATTTAAGTTTATTCAAATTATGACCCCGGCTGGTAGGGAGGGGCCATAAGGAGGATCAAAGTTTTACATAGAAATATATAAGAAAAACCTTTAAAAATCTTTTTCTCAAGAACAGCAGAGCCATGATGAGTCATATTTATATGGAAGCATCCTCAGGTAGTGTAGATTCAATTTTGTTCAAATCATGACCCCCGGGGGTAGGGTGGGGCCACCATAGAGGATCAAAGTTTTACATAGAAATATATAGGAAAATATCTACTTCTGAAGAACTGAAAATTGTGTTTAGTCATTTTGATATGATAGCATCCTCAGGTAGTGTAAATTCAATTTTGTTTAAATAATGACCCCCGGGGGTAGGGTGGGGCCCAATGGGGGGTAGAAGGTTTTACATAAGAACATATAGAAAAAATATTTCTTCTCAAGAACAGAAAAGCTATGTTTAGTCATATTGATATGGAAGCATCCTCAGGTAGTGTAGATTCAAATTTGTTCAAATCATGACCCCTGGGGTAGGGAGGAGCCACAATTGGGGATCAAATTGTTACAAAATAATATATGGGGATTTTTTTTTTAAAAACTTCTCAAGTACAACAAAGCCATTTGTTATATTGACATGGAAGCATCATCAACACATATATGATTATATATGAGGTGTGAAAATAAAAAAAAACAACGTTTATCTATGAAGCATGAAATGTTTGAGTGCTATTTATAATACAGTGAAACATTTGACTGGAAATGAGAAAAATATTATATAATGAGGATGTATACAGTTCATTGCAGAACCCTATAAAAATAAAGGCATATCTAATAAACATCTTCAGGAATACCAATATGGTATACCTGAACCATTACTCCAGATGGAAGAATTAAGCACATACCAATCCGTATTTTTATCCAGAAGATGAACTTAAATATGAAACCTTGTCTAATACTTAAATTTACATCTATCACTGACTTGTAATAAATGTCTTTAATCTGAAGCTCTTAATAATATACCGTAGAAACTTTTAAAATACTAATATTTACATCCACTGAATATCATTTCCTTTGTTTCTTATGAAAACCATTGCCGTTTATCAGTCAGTAAACGACACTAGGCAGGCCACCTGCAAAGATTCCTTGAGCCTTGGCTGTTCCATCAATTATGCATACTATGACATACAAATCTATAATACAACACTTAACATATCTAATTTTACTTTGATTTTTTTTTTAATACAGATATAAATATAAACAATAAAATGTTTTCTCTGGTTGTTAGTACGGGAATTAACGTCGCAGCTATTGCAAAAAAAAAATTAAATAACCCGCTTACGCGGGTTATGTATTTTTTCTGCAACAGCTGCGACATTAATTCCCGTATTAACAACCAGAGAAAGCATTTTATTGTTTAAGTAAACATTATGTCACAATTAGCGATTAAGTTAATCATGTGTGTCTTCAAGGCACGACATGAATTTTCTTCTGTGATACATACATTCGATTCAAATGGTATTTAAGAAATTATTAGGTTTTCAAATATTGCAGGATGATTTACGTCACCTTTCGCATTTTTCCAGATGCGAATATTGGAGACAATGTGTTTCTCATGAACCTCCAATGATCTCCTTTGAGTCGAGAAACAGCGTGGTGAAGATCTGTTTTGGATTTAAATGGATGCTTTTGAAATAGAAATCTAGATGTTAATTTACAAAACTTTAAGTCTCTGCAGTTGGAAAGACATAAAATCAATGTCATAACATTTCACACTAGAACAAGATATAGAAACATACTATTGAATGACCCCTTCCCGATTCTGACATTTTCGCAACACATATGAATCGATTGTTTTTAGATGAAAAACAAATTTCCAAATTTATTTTATGTTAAAGCCTCTTAAAAATAAATTGTTAAAACGCCAAAGTTTTACAGAATACTGGAAAACCGTTCTTACCGTTCTATTTGGCATGCTAGAAAAATTCTTTATCATGACGTCTCGAACCAGTTTAGGGTCCAGTAAAAGTAATGATGGCTTGTGTAAGATGTATGTTCTGTAAAATATTTAAGCCTTAAATTCTTATTAGCTCACCTGAGCCGAAGGCTCAAGTGAGCTTTTCTGATCGAAATTTGTCCGTTGTCTGTCGTCGTTGGCGTTGTTGTTGTCGTAAGCTTTTCACATTTTCATCTTCTTCTCTAGAACTACTGGGCCAATTTCAACCAAACTTGGCACAAAGTATCCTTATGGTAAGGGGATTCAAGTTTGTTCAAATGAAGGACCACGCCCTCTTTCAAGGGGAGATAATAAAGAGTTAGTGAAAAATTAATAGCATCTTTTAAAAATCTTCTTCTCAAGAACCACAGGGCCAGAAAAGATGAAACTCATGTGGAAGCATCCTCAGGTAGTGTAGATTTAAGTTTATTCAAATTATGACCCCGGCTGGTAGGGAGGGGCCATAAGGAGGATCAAAGTTTTACATAGAAATATATAAGAAAAACCTTTAAAAATCTTTTTCTCAAGAACAGCAGAGCCATGATGAGTCATATTTATATGGAAGCATCCTCAGGTAGTGTAGATTCAATTTTGTTCAAATCATGACCCCCGGGGGTAGGGTGGGGCCACCATAGAGGATCAAAGTTTTACATAGAAATATATAGGAAAATATCTACTTCTGAAGAACTGAAAATTGTGTTTAGTCATTTTGATATGATAGCATCCTCAGGTAGTGTAAATTCAATTTTGTTTAAATAATGACCCCCGGGGGTAGGGTGGGGCCCAATGGGGGGTAGAAGGTTTTACATAAGAACATATAGAAAAAATATTTCTTCTCAAGAACAGATAAGCTATGTTTAGTCATATTGATATGGAAGCATCCTCAGATAGTGTAGATTCAAATTTGTTCAAATCATGACCCCTGGGGTAGGGAGGAGCCACAATTGGGGATCAAATTGTTACAAAATAATATATGGGGATTTTTTTTTAAAAAACTTCTCAAGTACAACAAAGCCATTTGTTATATTGACATGGAAGCATCATCAGGTAGTTTAAAATTCAAGCCCCCCCCCCCCCCTTTAATCTTTTCAATACTGAACTGATTTGTGCTTTTGCCTAGCCAATGTGCTCAGGTGAGCGATGTGGCCCATTGGCCTCTTGTTTTTGCATGTCGTGGGTCCTTTAATAATAGCACCTGGCCTTGCCGTGCAAACTGAATACCGTGCGTTAGCGTGTTATGATATATATATTTACATTCTCTAATTTTCCCTCTTCATAATTGTTAATTTCATTAATCTGAATTAAGAATTTAGCGCCTATCAGAACCGGTGTGCTTAATTAACGTAAGAGCCGTTGTGATATGGAAATTTATCTAACGCAAATGAATATTAGGAAGGAAAACAAATTAATTTTAAACGTACAATTGCTATATTTTTACAATGATTTAATAGTGAATTTTTTTTTATGTAAAATTGAGCCAAAAAATATACATTTGGTGTTCTTAGAGTATGCATATAGTCCCTACTGTATATTCTACCACGCAGTGACAATGTATCGTGTGCGTTATAGTGTATTGAATGTTGTATGTTTGAAATGTTTGAAATAAAGAAAATTACAATGAATGTAAATATATTTTAATACATAGCAATAACATTTAAAAAAAATGCAACTTTTAAATGTTTTGATGTTATCAAGTAACTCCAGAATTTACGGGAACAAGTATTTTCCTGAACATGCTGAAGAAAGGACATTGACCGACTTAACAATAGTTTCAATAAGCATGTATTAGGAATATTAAATGACTCCACGTGGTTCTTTTAACACTCAGATTTGTACTTACCCTATAACTTTGTCGTATTCGTAGAACATTTCCAGGTCGAATTCACCTATCCCCTACACATTTCAGAAAGAAAAAAAATTAAAATGTTAGAATTTTGGAAGAACATTGGGATATACGTATGTAAGGCCAATTTATCACATCAATATGGATTTAACGAAGTAAACTTTTTTTTCTGTGATAAAGTATAAGTAGTAAAACAGTTGACTAACATTTCCCATTCTGGTGACATTTCCCAAAAGTAGTGTCGGTTTTACATAAGGCACACCAAGCCTGCTCCAAAAACTTAATTTGTATTTTGAATACCTGAAAACAGTAAAGAGAAACATTCTATAATTAATGTACTAAACACATTGTTTCAAATCTTTTGAAATCAAGCACTACAACCTAATACGACAATGCATTGAAATAGGTGACAATGCAAGCGTTTTAACCCTTAGGTTATGCAGTACATTCAAATAGTTTTGTTTGTAAACAAAATTCATTCACTGTCAAGTCTATTGAGCTCAAAGCCTAGAGGTTTCCCCGTACTATCAGCTTTATTAACGTTGAACAATGTACATTTGACAGGTACTGTACATGAATCAAACAAAACTTTAGCAAGGAAAATGTACACAGATAACGCATCTCGCTAATAAGTAAAGTAAATAAGATGGAATACCTACAAATAGAGAGACAGGACAATCAATAACACTGTCAGTAACCAGCCTGGAATAGTGACGAGACCCAATATATCCATCTTCCCTGCTTATTGTTTGAACCCTGTGTATGAAACTTCAAGAAAAGTTCCCCGAGAAATGAAATACCATATCTATTTACATATTAACATGGACGTCGATAACAAAACTCAAAACAGTTCAACAGAAATATTTATCTAAGTATGGAAACATTGTAGGGCCAACTTCTGTTTATAAAGTAGTTGTATGTCATATAAGTTTCCCAGCCCCCAAACTTTGTTGTTTTTATGGATTCTTGTAAGGAATAAAAACTCTAAATGACTGAGACCATCATCAGAATAGGGCGCAAATGAATGTGTAAAAGGTTATATTCTTTCGAAAAGTAACTTTTTTTTTATTTCTTACTTAATAATTTGATTATAAATGTACATATATTTCTTTCTTCTTTTGAAATGGCATACACATGTATAATATTCTAAATTCTCAGATGCTTTTCAATTTTAAGCAATTATGTATACTAATTAAGGTGTTTAATTAAAGTCTAAAATTGGTCCTGTTTTGAATTGCTAAATACTTCAACGATTCCACGAGTTTTTGATGTAAAGTAAATTTACTATGTACATGACACAGGGGAATGAAAAAACAAACAAACAAACAAACATTAGTATAAAGTTGTTAAATGCAAACATAAATGTGGTAAAAGTATAGAAACATGTATGGTATACTTGAATGTCTTACAATTCACAAATAGCTCATGCGCCTTTCAAAAAACAATGTATAGAGTAAATTGACTATGTACATGGCCAAAGAAAAAAAAGAAGAAAATCATCAGTATAAAGTTGTTAAATGAAACATAAATGTGGCAAAAGTATAGACACATGTATGGTATACTTGAATGCCTTATAATTCACAAAGAGCTTATGCGTCTTTTAAAAAAAACATTACATATATCAATATTTACAAATAAATATGTTGGTTTAGTCAACATATCTATTTCAAAAAAGAAGATTACAATTTTTATAGCAGGAAAATGTTTTGAAATCTTCGGTATGATTTCAGACTATGTACATTTAAAATCAAATTGTGGACATGCTTATTTGAGGCCATAATTATTTTCTTGACCACGAATTATTTCTAAAAAAAACTTAGATGTACCTGGACTAGCTACCGTACATGTTACATGTTAAATTCTATGTCGCTGGTACATAGGACAAAGGTGACTGGTATATAGGTGATAAAATGACATTCAATTTAATATATTTACAATTGCTGTGTTTTTCTACTAAGGCAACAGTGAAATTGATTTGAAAGTCATTTTTGTGTATACTTACGCGTAGAAATATACACGGAGAAACTCGCTCTAAAGTGACGTCACAATGAGGCTACAAAGACGTTCATAAAAATGTAACAATATAGGGCAGCGAATAATTCAAACATTGAATATATTTTGGGTGCCTTTGAACATGTAAAATGTAAATACATGTATAAGGAATGTTTTTAAGTTTAGTGTGAATTATTGGTGTGTAAATCACACAGACTTGCACGTAGGCATATTTTTCATGAAGCGCTAGCGCGCTTCATGAAATATGCCTACTCGACAAGTCTGTGTGATTTACACACCAATAACTCACACAAAACTTAAAAACATTCCTTTAGTTAATTGAAGAATTTTTTGTTGGAAATGCAGTAAGCTTCAAAAAGATATACATGTATATGAAGAATTATATGAAATTGATAAAACCGGTAATGCTATGGTTGTAAGGAGCCTATATAACCGTGTTTCAAATGCAAACGAGGTAAAAAAATTCCAGCACATATTTGAAAATATGACACTTTTTCACAAATATATTTTATAAATCTACCCTTAAAGAAACAACATATTTTCTTATCTTGTGTTTAGAATGTTTGTCAGGTCAGGGATATATAATTGTAATATGCAATAAAAGTAGATATTTAAAAAAAAAAATAAACATTAAAGGTGCTTAGACACAGATTCGAAATTAATATTTACTCAAATTTTCTGTATAATTTCATGACTTATATGTTGCTATAGCATTTCATACGAAAATTTGATAAAAATCTTATTTTATCCGGAAGTAAATTGAAATTTCGAATTTCTGGACGCGTTTGATAGACACATCCTTGCACATTCACAAATTTTAACTTTATCCTTATTACTTTAGAAAAGTAACAACTTTGTTGTTTATTAATGAAAAATATTAAAACTATAATGCAGAAATTTCAGAGTAGAAATGTAGAAGCAAAATCCTCTCACCATTATTGTCCGTCCGTGCTCAGTGGTGTATTCAGAGTTTAACAATTGAACACACCCGGTGAAACGTAAACATGAACAACAACAGAGCTCGTGCCCTGTTTACAAAAACAGTTTACGTTTCACGGGTGTATTCAATTTGTTGAACTCTGTACACAACTACACAACACTGAGCACGGGCTGACAATACTTAAGCGAGTGGGTTTTGCTTTCGCACATTTTTACTCTGAATTTTCTGGATTATAGATGTAATATTATTCATTAATACACAACAAAATTGCTGCTTTTCTTAAGTATTAAGAATAAAGTTAAACATTGTGAAAGTGCAAGGATGTGTTAATCAAACGCCTCCCGAAATTCGTAGTTTCAATAATTTCCAGATTAAATAAGTTTTTTATTTTATTTTCGTGTGATATGTTATAGCAATATATAAGTTGTGATATTATACAGAAAATTTGAGAAAATACAAACTTCAAATCTGTGTCTATGCACCTTTAAGGTCAGACGACACGTTCCTCGAAAATATATAATTTTTCCCAAGATTTTGTCATTGAAGTATCACTACTTAAACAAGTTTCCTCACCAAAAATTGAGGTACCTTACCAGGCATTTGGGCAAGATACCAGAGGGTGATATTTCTTATATAATCCTTATGGGTAATCTTTTTAATTGCCAATGTCACAATTTTTGGTATACTTATTTTATAAAACATATTAAAAACAATTTAGAAATCACAAGAGAATGACAATTATGAATAAATTTTGATATAATACCAAGATATACAATACATATCTTTGAGGAACGTGTCGTCTGACCTTAAGATCTTCTAACTTTTTAATATGTATCTGTTTTGTATAGTTTATCTTCTAAACTATTTGTGCTAGTAAGCGGAAGCCGAAAGGTTCAGGGATGTAATGTCGATTGAAAATTGTGTGATTAAATGTCGTGACTACCTTCTTAAAATATAACGTAGTATTCTCGCAAACGATTTTGCGGAACAATGATTTAAACACTCCTTCACGACTTTGATTTACGTTTACTTATCATATACATGTAAATAGCTAAAAGAATCAGGGTGATACTTTTTATTATTACTTTTAAATATTTTGAAAATATGTTTGAATTCACCTTCGGACGATCGTAATTGATCTGGAATGAAGGATCAGATGGTTATTTTGAGATTCGTATTTCGCGCCGAATTAGAATTCTGGACAATGCAAATTGTGTTTGAAATAGTCACTCTACGTTGAAGCATGAGGGATCGACGTATCTGAAAAAAAACCCTCATTGTTGATATTTATTGGTGTTTTAGGTCTAAACTGTGAATGTTTTTATAGATATTGTCCTTTTTATTTTTCTTAAGCAAAATTTGCAAATGACAATGTAATTGAAATATCAAAAGTTTTGTAAAGGACAATATATATCAGCTATGCTCATGATTTAGTTGTTTTTGCGCAGACTGAGGTTAGTTTATACAGAATTACTGAAAAAAAAAAAAAAAAAAAAAAAAAAAAAAAAGTATAGCATTAATGTGAACACTGTAGTGCTAATTCATGATAATGATATGTTGACATTTGCCTGTATTATTTTGAAAAAAAAAAACCCTGAGAAATTCAGATACAGTGTATACTATTTTGTTTTTATTTATGCAAGCTAGTGTTATTTTTTAAAGTATCATTAATAATCATATATACATGTTTTACGAGGAAAACTATACTTAGCGGTTTATTACGTATATGGTCGTCAGGAGGAAATTGTAGATTTTACATGAACACTTGAACATATCACGTACAGCAAAGTGGGTGACCTCACTGGTGTCAAACTTCAAGATTTTTTTTATCATTTCATAGTTGTTGAACAATGCAAATCGCTCTGTTATTCTTCTTTTGTTGGAATATATATGGTAAGCTGCATGTATATATTTTTGAGCTGTGTGGAATATTGCTAAAGGTCTGTGGATAATAGTGCTATTTTTGCCCATTTCCCTAGAGAGAAAAAAAGGGAGTCGTATTAAGGAGGTAACTGAATGCAAGAGTTAGCTCATATTTTTTATACTGTATGGTGTACGGATCTCTTTTTTACTCGAACATGACAAGTGACATTCAGCTGGGTGACAGGTGGACAGAGGATGCTTACTCCTCCATGGCACCTGATCCCACTTCTGATGTTTTCAGGTGTCTGTGTGTGTTCTGCTCACAATATGTATCGTTTGACTGGACTTGTGTGCATTATTTTTTTTCGTCATCATCACATTTCTTTACGTTAACGTTTCTGAACATACTGACTCTAAATGTTAGACTTTGAAGATTTTGTGGCGCTAAAACAGATATACAAAAGCATTCTTTGGTGAAACCATATCAATTTATACCTTTGAAACTGGGCATAGAAAAGGGTGTATTTTTCAAAATACATGATCATAAGTTGTAAAAAAAAACAATGTTGGAATTGCAACCAAGGGCCTTTGGCTTACTTTCAATTTGACAATATGTATTTTAAGTAGCTTATTCATAATGTTTATTTTAGATGTCTCATTGCAGTTTCTTTTTCAGAACACTTCTCATATCCATGCGACAATTCCTCATGTCGTAAGTTCAAAACATTATTTGCATATCATAATCCAAGCTGATTGTTTTAAATTTAGCATAAACAACAAACTGAAATTTTTTTTCATAGACTGTCAGTTACTTTTGAAATTAAAGTTTGTTAAATGCAAGTGATTCCTGCTTTTTCTTGAAAATAAGAACTGTATGATAGTTTTTATTGATTTTTACACCAAATACATGTATCATATAAAATTAATAATAAAAATGAAAATTCAGTCATTATTTGTATATTTATTAAGGTTAAGTAAACATATCATTTACTTGAGAATTTAAACAATTTCTAACAGGAGAAAATCATGCATTGTCATATCCACACAATTAAAAAAAAAATCGTTTTATTCAAATACTTTTAGTTTCATATATCATACGTAATATACGTAACTACTGACATTGGTTATATAAATTTTCTTTAAAGAAGTATATCTTTAATATCTTTTCATACAGCATAACTCAAAACTGGAAAGAAAATTTGGGTTCAATGTGTATATTACTTAGCAACAGTACAATAAACTTGTCCTTTTTATACTTAAATTGTAACTATTATTATTACTTTAACCTCACAAATATATCTTATAAGATATAAGCTTGGCTAAATAAATTATATTTATAAAATAACTGAAATGAAATATATCATCAAAAAATATTTGAAATGAATGCAGGTAAATTATTGTACGTCTTTTTCTCAATTTTAAAAAAATTGGATGTGAATTGTAAATTTTGATATATGGGTCAAATTTGTCAATTTTGAGGCTAACACAAATTTAAGGATGAATTTTAAATATATCGGCAATTATGGCAAAGTATGTAGACGAAATGTGTAAAACTTGTTGAAAAATATCATTTGAAACCTACATTGATAATAGATAATAGATGATATAAGTGAATATTTCTCTAAGTAAAAACATGTTCCAATATTTTGAATTAAGCAAACTTGTACATGCTGACAATTATCTTCTTAATATTCTTCCACCACAAGCAAATGTCCCTCAAAAATCTTATTCTTTATTCAGAGTGCGGTTTTTTAATTGATTGCTGTAAGAAAGCGTTATTCAATTCAAACTTGTCATGAAATTTAAATTGTTATTGACAATTTGATATAACAGGTTCTGTCCAAACTTTTCTCAAAATCTGACGAGTAACATAAGTTTGATGAAATGGAAAAAGAAATAAATTTTATTTAGTATGTTTTAACAGTAACTGTTCAGAAGTGCGGCGAAGGAGCCTCAGGATCTGATATTTACGTTGACTTTAATGGCATTGGTACTCGCTGTGACTGTAAAATTATTTCCCATTTCAATGGGGAATACATCTTTATTTTTTATAACCAAAATCCAGCTCATAGTGCCTGTACAGTCGAAGTACAGTATAAGGATTTTGAAAATGTTCTTCATCAGATGAACTGCTCGGTAAGACCTGAAATTCAATACCCAAATATGGCAGTTATGAAAACAAGCTCTGCCACCATTGGAATGTTTTCAAATGAGGGAGAAAACTATTTTCCAGAAAATAATGGATATCTATTTCGAATACAAAGCATAGGTATTATTCTTTTCATATCGTTTTAATTGGATTTTGATTGCACTTTCACAGAAAGTGTTAATGGAAAATTCATAAAATTTAAATACAACTGAGAATAAATAAAAATTGGAAATCGTTTTAATAAGTTTAAGATTATCTTCAGTTTTTTTTTGATTTCATTGGATAGAGCCGGCTGATACATTTGAAATAATATGCAAAAGCTCCAGAGTTGTGAATTCCATCTTAAAAGTAGAAAATGGAAAAAATGAAACTGAAGAAAAAGAATTCAACAGCAAGCCAAAATTATATGGTAAATAAAATTCCATTCAATGTCAAAATTGATAACTTTTCTATTTCTATACGAGAACATATGAAAAAGATGAGAATGCCCTTGATGATTTTTCTATTCTGCTTTTTTCATTATTACAGTTTTGCTTGCAACCCTCTTGAGTGTGGCCTGTTTCATTAATATTGTTCAAACGCTTTTGATGATATATCTTAAAAGGTAATCATTTGTAGTGTAGACGTAGGACTAATGAGAAATTTCACCTCAAATTAATCAGTACTGATATGAAGTAAGCTATTTAATTATATATCATAAATAATTAATTTTTTCAGTCGTCTCTCTCGAGGTCATGTATCGTGTGTCCTTTATTGTAAAAAAGTATAAATTTTCTAGGAAACTCGCAAAACGAAGCAATCAAGAAAAGACAAAAACTGTACAATCAAATTTGGCAGTCCTACCTCATTTCTACTCATATCCTGATTTCAGCACAGGAGAAGAAAACATTCATCGATATAAAAGTCTTCACGATAACAATAGGTGACCTTTGTCGTAAAAGTTTTTATCATTGTTTGAATATATTTAGAATTGTTATAACATATTTTTAAAACTCAAATTGTCTTTTGTTTCTCTAGGAAATCCGGAAGCGTACATAATTACGTTACAATTATAGACTAGATTTAAGCAAACCAATGAAGAAATCCACTAGATGTTGAAAGTAAGAAAGAGATGAAATGGTGATGAAGTATTCATATAATGTCTGGAGTAGAGATCGAAAAAAAAAAAACAATTAGTAAAAAAAAAAAAAAAAAATATTTATATAATTTTTCTACTTATTCATATTTTATATATTACTAGTATGAATTACAACAAAGAAATTATGATTAAATAAGCGTTTGTATTATGTTTTATGATGTAATTTCGTCTTTAAATGTGTGAAGCATTTGTAAAAATCAAATGAAACTTTTATAGAAATGTAAAAGAAAAACAAATTCAAAGCTTCAAGTGCTCTGAATCTACAAATATGAAAGTTAAGTCAATGTAATGGTGCTAGAGTCATAAGGTGGAATGTGAAGATAACGGACAAAAATCATATTCAAATGTCTAATTAAACAATATACATTTATTGCATGATAGTGAGGGAGACATGAAGATTTCTTCGCCCATGAAAAATCATATGAATTTTCATGGGCGAAGAAATCTTCATGTCTCCCGAACATTCATGCAATAAATTGTTTATTATACCGAATCAAGCACAATGCAGTAAATATAAAGAAAATCCAATGAATAAAGTAAACATTTGATAAGAACAATATGAAACAGAAGTAAGTTACACCACTAGTCGTGCTTCATAAGAAAAACATTCCTTCGTGACACGTCAGTGTAATTTACACACCAGTAACATTAAAACCCCATCCATGAAAACACTTTGTTAAATATTTACATTTTACACGTTTAAATTGACACAATCAATCAACGGTATGAACAATCTAACTCAGGTAGTAAACTCAGTCTCCACATTGTGACGTCATAATCGTGAAACACGAAGTTTTGTTGCAGGGCAAACATGACGGTCACGTGACTGTCTCGGCCAATCAGGTTCTATTTTACTAGTAATTATTTATATGAGGTATAATAATATAAATTGTGATCAAAGCAATCAGGTGTGGTGCAGACACCTAGCATTAACGCAGATTAGTGTTCTTGGCTCCAAGGGTTGAGTGCAGTTATCCTTGACAACCTATACTCCTCCGCTGGGATCCGGATGTTCCTGACGCTGTCCAGCGCAATCGAGTAGTGTCTCAAGTAGAATATAGACGAATTATTTTCACTGGAGCCTGACTCCATATAAACTTCTTTACAGCAATCGAGTAACTATAGGTTGCCATCCAATCTTAAGTTCTTTGCTCCGTGGATAATTTTGGTAGTAATTTAATATCTACACGTCTACAGGTAATATCCACTACAACTACAAGCCCTTTCTATTAGTTGTTTTGTTGATTCTAATTTTTAATAGATTATATTTAAATTGAATAAAGATTTTTGTTTTCATTTTTATCATGACTACACTGCAGGAATCTCTTTACTCTCGAGGAAAAGTAACAATCACCTTGTTTCACACGAATCACTGAAAACAGAGGTGAGATATCGTGCCATCGAGAAGTGAGCCTCCCCATGTTGACCGGTCACATCCGCCGTGTATCTTTAAACGATTCAATGCGAAATTCAGTGTGAAAATAATGGCAAATATAAACATATATAACAGTCTGTATCAAAGACGGCAGTGAACATTCTACCAAACGATAGACTGTGCTCGCAAGCATGGTCATTGCATGACAATAGAATTTGTGAACTAATGATTTTAAGCTAGATTGTTGATGATATATTCATGGAGATAACGAACAGTATTCAAGCTCAAAAACCATTAAACCAAGACAAATCAGGAGCGGACCTCAAAAACATCAGTAGTGAGCATCCCCTGCCGACCTGTCATACCCGCCGTGTGGTCGTTGTCATGATCGGGAAATAACGGAAAAATCCGTCGACAATTCAATATGTCAATAATGGCCTAACAATTAGTATTAAAAACGTTGATATCATTGTATCATCAACTTATTAGTCAACAGCCTGCCTGGTTTAAGAAATTGTTCGTCCAGAGAACATCCTCTTTTCTATCGAATCAACAGGGAGACATAAACCCCATTTGCAGGTGATATTGGTAAATTGCTACATAAATAAGGGAAGAAAAGCTGGCCATTATTTATCATAAAAATAAGTTTTTGCCATCAATGTCTCTCTCCAATACAACATCGAAATATGAAACAGATATGTCAGACTCTGTGGTGTCTTTTGAGCTCTATGGGATACATCGAATCAACAAGGGGAATGAAAATGAATATTGTTAATTGATAAAACGTCGTCTATATATAAATTGAAAGCCTTAACAAGATACTTTTTTTTCATGTAGTAGATTTTGAATAAAATATGTTTCATATGAAAATAACTGAGCTTAATTAGTACCCACTGGAATTCAAGCAGATTGCTGGAAGACCTGATCTCCAAAGATAAATTAATGAAATATGTGGAGATAACGAACAGTATTCAAGCTCAAAAGTCCATTAAACATTACGAAATAGGAGCAGAGTAAACACGGACCTCTACGACATCGGAGATGGGATCAGGTGCCATGGATGAGAGAGCATCCCCTGCCGACCGGTCACACCCGCCGTGTGCTCTTTGTCATGATCGGGAAAATAATGTCAATGAGAAACTCAAACACTTTTAAGCACCAAACTTTGGAGTACTTGTGTGTAGATTCAGAATGATTTTAGAAATCAGTTTTCAGGTGACCAATGACAAGGTAAGCGAATTTACGTGTTCATTTTGATTGAAGAGGTTGTTGTCTATAATGTCAAAAAAGCCATATCTGTATTTTAGCGTAGGTAATGGTTGTATAAAGTGTTTAAAAAACGTACATTCCTTGGATTTTTTTTTAGTTATGTGTCTATATTTTATTAACACCACTTTTCGAAAAGGATGTTGTTAACACCCCTGAAGTTTTTTTTTCACTGTTGGGTGAATAAAATTAAAAAAAATGACCGGAAAAATATTTGTCAATCTGCACTAATAATATAGGCAATGTAAATAAATTTCTTTGGCTCAGCAAGTGTCTTTTGATACTGGTTAAATGCCTGCCAAATATCTCATTGATATCCTTAGGCAGAAATAAGTTATGCCCATGATGCAAAAATGTCAGGAATGTAACACTTTTTTGTGACATTTTGAAAATCTAGTATTTTTGGAAGATTTGTGAAAGAAAAGAATTAATGGTTTATGTTGGAAATAAATACTTTCTTTATAAAATTTAGTATATCGAGCTTTAAATTTAGACTGTAGTAACTTCTGGTTGACCATGATGTGGTCATGGCAGATGCTGAAAAAAAAAAAAATGTTATACCATGTCAGGCGTGCAACAGCAAACTTATACTGTTACCCAAAACATTGATTTTAAAAATATGTATGACAATTAAAAGTCAAATTTAAAGGAAATAGATACACTTGTAAATGATATATATTGTAAATAATAGTTAAAAAGAGGGAACCACATTCTTAAAATTTTAAACCTCGTTGTTTTCTTTGTTTATCTATTTAAAAATCGCTAAAATTAACGTTTATCAATAGAGTTATTTCCCCATTTTGTGACGTCACAAGAGACAATCAACATATCTGTTAATATATGTACAGTAAAGTGCTCTCGATTATCATTTTCAAAAATGTCAAATTTTAGCGACAGTATGTCGCACATACTAGAAATATATCTTTCAGTTAAGAAAAGGCCCGAAATAATACAGCCAATGGAGGAAAGTACGCAAATTGAAAATAATTTTTCTTCTTCGACCGATTTTGTTTCGTCCGAAACCGGCGAAGGCGAAAGTGGAAATGAAAATAACACAGCTAATCAGGGATAATCGCAGCACCTAGCAAATGCAGATAACTGGTATTTAATCCCTATTACTTAAGCACTCAGTATTTCAGAAAAACTCACAAGCACTTGACGTTACTTATTTTTCTTTTAATAAAAAAAACCCATATACCCCCTACCTATATGTAATAATTCACATGGCCTGGGGTGAATAATTAGGTAGGGGGTATATGTTTTTTATTAAAAGAAAAATAAGTAACGCCAAGTGCCTGTGGAAAAATGTTTTATGAAAATTTATTTTATGGGTTGTTTCGTAAGTTCATTAAAGGATCAGAACTGTCATAGGTGAAAACGTATATAATTCTTATTTTTACATTGCATGCCCGTAGGAACCGGGGGTAGGGCATTTTTTTCTTTCCTATAAAAGTATACTATATAAAACAGAGCTTGTTCCCTTGTCTGATAACTTATTTTATGCGTGACAAGGAATTTTTGGTTGGTAGACCCCCCCCCCCGCCCTCCCCAAATAACAATTCTTTGATGCGCCCCCAAACTGAAATTGTTTCCTACAGACCTGCATTGAAGAAAATTTTTGTCTTAAGGCACTTTCATACAAAAATATTCTAAAATCAATTACTACTTGTTTTGTTACAATACACTCAATCTCCTACACCTCAGTATATCTAGTTTTGTAGACAGAAAGATTATTTCCATCCGTCCCCTTTTAGGTCCTTAGAGTTTTGATTTTTTTTGGCTTACCAAAAATTTTATCAAACATCTTTTTTGCTTGTCAATTATCTCTCTCTCAAATTTACCCCCCCCCCCCTTTGGATATTGATTCTTTCACCATTTCAAACAATCTTTGAAAAAAAAAACATTTATGTACATAATGAAAAAAAAAAAAAAAAAAAACAACAACCAAGCAAATGCATTTGTTTTATTATTTCCTACTCTACGGACATCTCGGTTATCACCGATTTGTCATATGGGTAAATTAGCGCCTCAGGAAGAAGAATAGATGAATTCATCCATCTTGTGTAGTAACGAAAATCTGAAAAACCTTTCCCTCCAAAAGTATTGCGGC